CGTTGAAGTGAATTTCCTGTTACAATTTAACAAAGGTAAAAAAAACCCCAAATGTCATTTCCTTAGCTGGAATGAGCATACTTTTACTGAGTCAGGGATTTATTTTCTTAAACAACAAAACACCTTCCTCCCTGCTCCTCTCCCTAGTTTATTATTGTTTGGAAAAAGAGTGGGATAAATCAGGGAGATAAGGAGAAGGGGTAAGATGGTTGGTATTTCTAGAACAGAGTTTTTATCCTTTATCAGAGCATATGCTGTGTGGAGCCACATGATCATGGAGTGAAAATTAAGTGCCTGCAATTACCTGATGTTCTCTAATTCCCCCAACCAGTAACCTCCACAGCATTATATGCAGCAATACTGGTGCCTGATCCTGCGCTTCCACACCTCCCTGAGCAGCACCAACACCGCACTGTGTTAAAAAAACCTCTTAAAAAAGGAGGTTAAGTCAAAAGAAGACAGTTGTTACCACCTTTCCTGGCTTTAATGGGTTGGAAATAGGCCAACATCTGGGTGCTGGATCTCAGCAATGAATTTGTGCATACTGGAAAAGAGCTGCAGCCAACGTTTTTACAGCTGCTGGGCGCACACGGCTCTTTGAACTTGCGTCCCTTACGTGCACCAGAACAGCCCGACAGGCAAGGGACTCCCTTCACGTGCAGCTGAACTCTTGGCCGTAAGGCACGTTCCTCAGGTAGCAAAACAAGCCTTCTCACAGTGAAGTTCCCAGGATTGCTTCCCTGCTGGACTGCCTGTGGTTTTTAAGGCAAAGTAAAAGCCTGCAGCAAATGCAACAGGCTGGCCATCACAAGCGCTTATGGAAGGAATACTGCACAAGCTGATTTTTCTTCAGTGAAGTTGGAAGAAGAGAGAAACAGCTTTGGGCTGAGATGCTCCAGCTCACAGGTGGGTAACAGAGCACTGGACACTAAGGTGGAAACACATTCGCATTACTGTTAGCAAATTCGTTGCTTTGGATCGTTTTGATACAGCAGAGTCCTGTGTTGAATACACTGTGCCGAGTCCCCTCTAAGCCATAGGCTCTTTTCTTGCGTTTGAAGTTGTCTCTCCAAGAACTTCAGTCTCTTTTTAGCAGGCTTCATCCCAGACCACGGTATACATACATGCCGAAGCAGCAGCCCATAAAACTAGACCTTCCCCCTTTCATATAAGGTCCTATACAATCCTAATGCTCTAGCATGTGTGTTTCAGCAAAGCAATCCCCTTAAGAGGGGTTGTTGCTCTTTGTATCTTTTCTGACTTGCAGGTTTTTTACTTTAATCTCATGGGTAAGTGTTCTGCCCTTTTCATTACTAATATTTAACTTGCATATTTAAAAGCTTTGGAAAAAATTGTTTCAAATGCTCCTCTTGACTTGATAATTTCTTTCTTTGGTTTGACTACTGCAGTTGTTAAATTTTGAAGATGCATGTGTTCTTTTGCTGTGCAATTTGTTTTCTTCTGTCCTGCGTACATCCCTCCTCCCCTCACAAGGTACAAATTTGGGCCTGTCTCACTACCACTACCTACACAAGTCCCATAGAGGAATGAGATCGGCTGCTCAGTTTCCAATGCTCTCATTTTTTTATTTCCTTCTTCCTGTAAATCACTGCAATTGTGTCTTTCTTCACCGGAGCGTGAAGGTTTTGCACGTTCTCCATTGCCTCTGCTGGTGCCCACTGTGAAGCTCACACCTGGGGTTGCTGCTTTCAGTTACTTACTATGTACCGTAACGAGCAACAGCTCGTATTTATCTTCACAACTAGCTAAGGTGCTCAAATATGCTAAGTGTGTTTAACTTAGGGAAGTCTTCAACAGGTCAAGAATGACTGAAGAAAGCCAGCAGCTCCGGAGCAGCAACTGGAGTGGAGCTGGCAGGGGCCTGACCAGCAGTTGGCTGGTCCTGCTAGTGTTTTAAGCTCAGTCAGTATCTACGCTTGCAGAAGCGGAAAAGCTGTGGGGCTTGAGGATTTCAGATACCATTGTCCATAGGAAGCAAGTGAAACCCCGAAACATTTTTCAACTTACACCACATCCCTTGCCTTCTGCAGATGAAAGTGAGAGGAAAGGCCCGAGCCCAGGAACGTGCGACTTCCTCCTCCTCTCGCAGAGACCAGTCTAGTCGGAAGGAAACATCTACTGCTTATCTCCACTTCAGAAAACAGACACAGCCCATGGAAAAACATAGGCAAAGGCCAACAAGAACCCTGGAGTGGCAAACAGCAGCTTTGCAACAAACCTGCTCAGTACTCACGGCTTATGACTTGGAAAGCCTCGAGTTTTTTTGAGCCATGATTTTATGCCGTGCAAGAATCTGGCTCAGGATTCCCGTTCATCACACTCTCTCGGCAATAAGTAATGCCAGCTTGCAAAAATCACGTGCCCGAAAGTGGTGCGGTGGCAGGGCACGTTCACAATGCACCCAGGCTCTCCTTTGTGCAACTTCTTCTTTCTGAACCACCGGACACTCGCTAACATTTCTAAGCTTTTCACTTGTCATTTTTTAAAGGAAAACTGTAATTCTCGAAAGAGCAACTGCACCAGGAGATAGGGCTTTAAGGAAAATAAAAACAACAACAACAACAAAGCCCTCAAAAGCCCACGTTTATTGTCAAAGTCTCTAAAATGACGAGATTTGACAATAAAGCTTTTGTTCTTACAAACACATGCAACTAGGCAACATGCAGCTTGATTTCTGCAGCCAGTAGATATTCAAAATACTTTCCACATACAATAGGTGTCAATTTGACTTTATTTAAGGAAAAACGGGGAAAAAACAGTAATTTCCATAATACACAGAAGACAAGTTAGATAGCACTGCAAAAAAAAGGCTGAGTGTTTTACTTGTCACCAGTCTGCTTTGCAGCTCTATGATTAGTAATTTTAATGCAGTTTGTCATTTCATATTATTGTTTAGCATCTTTATAATCAGCAGAGTTGGGGGTTATAAATCACAAAAAGTGTACTACTACTACGAAGAAAAACTAAAAAACCCACAAAAATCACTTTCAAATAAACCATAAATATGTGATGCACATTAGTGTAACAAAACCATTTTTGTAAACATTTTCTCCAACATAACATGTGCATAAGATAAAAAATAAAAACACTGCAGTCATACAAGTTAGGGTTACTTTGACTTAAAGATACAGAAAATTATTACTTATTAAAGCTTAAAACTAAACCTAGGAGCTTTTCTTTTCTTCTTTGCTTACAAAAGCACTGTTTGAAGAGTTCGATGTTGGTATACATAGTGGTTTTGTAATACTGTTTTTACCTTGCCGTGTTGGCACTTCTGTGGAGGCAGAAGCTGCCAGGCAGGCAGCCCCACCGAAGGAAGGAGATTCCTCCCCCCGGAGCCTCAAAACTTCAACAGCACGTATCCGTGACCTGGGCATCCCTACAGTACTGGAGCATCTTCCTCTAGGTGAATAGCATCAGCTTTCAAGGACTAGATTAATTTTTGACCACATAGCGCTGGAAGATTTAAATCACGCAGACTGACATTCGATCGAATCAGCTTCGGCAAACTACACTACAGGGCAGCTGTGTGATTACACCCACATCTACCATCACGTTGCGTTTCCGAGTCCCCTTTAAGTTCATTATAGTACAAAAGGTTGATCGTTCTTCTGGCTGACCACACCGGGCCTGAAAAGAACACATCCTTCACCTTCAACGCTATCCAAAAGTCATACAATAAAAAAAAAAAAAAATAGTTCTAGGTATTCCTCCGCCAGCAAATGTAAGGCTTTCTTGAGTTTTTATTCTTTTGGGGGCGTGTGGGGGGTGTGTGTGCACGCGCGTGCGCCGGCGGTACGCATTTACCACTTGCTTTTCAACCGTCTATGATGTTCAAAGGAGTCTTCAGCAGCAACGCTGATTGGGGTTGAAGGATTTACAGCAGTCAGATTTGACACCAAAGAAGGGTCTGTCGAGTCTGAGCTTTGCACACTCGGTGCTCTTAACTGATTGTGTGACCAGTCACTCGAGCCATCGGCTTGACTGAATTGAAGAATACGTGTTTAAAAAGCCCTACCTGTCATGCCATGAAGGAAAGTTAACCGCAGCAGAAGACAAAGCCCATGAAACACTGAGAGCCTGTTCACTGAATGAACAGCTTAAGGCAGCTGTCAACAAAGTACCCCACCAAAGGAATTAAAAAAAAAAAAAAAAAAAAAAAAAAAGTAGTGAAAACAAAAAGGAAAATGGCTGAATCGTGACACTGTGCATTATTACAACACCAACAGATTATTATACACTCAAGGTTTCTCAAGTAATGAACATGTAGCCATTAAACAAATTATTATTCTCAAGACATTTATTACAAATGTCAGAACTTATTAATAAAATAAAACTGACAAAAAAAAAACCACAAAAAAAAAAAAAAAAAGAAAGAGAAAAAGCCAGAGCTGGGATCTTACATCTAAACACAGGTATACGCTGTTTTTATGAATAAGCAGTATTAACTACATTCTTAAAAGAGTTTTAGTGCATTGCATTCTTAAAAAAGAAAAACATCACCGCCCCAAAATGGTTCCTACAACATTTAACAGTTTATAGAACTAGCCTAGTTATTTTTACCTGCCTGTTACTAAGCCCACATGTTAGAAGAGTGAAACCTCTGGTTTTAGGCTAAATTCAGTCTTCTATTAAGGATGAAACTGACTGAAAAAAATGCTTGCTTTACCAAATTTTGTAAGCAAATTACATTAATCAGTGTCTCACTGCCATACCGCGACCACTATTGCCCCAATGGACCACTCTCTCCTCCTAAAAAAACTTGCTACGCAATAACAGTCAGAAACCTTTCGATCTGGTAGTTTTGGTATTAAGATTAAATTAGACATTAATGGTTTTCATCTAAAAACGTATAAACTAAACCACCTCTTTTATTTTATGCATTAAAAACAATGAGGTAGGCACAAAAAATAAACATATGTAGTTTGGATTTTATTTCTCTTTTTTTTTTTCTTTTTCTTTTTTTTTTTTTTTTTTTTTTTTTTTTTTTTTTTTTTTTTTTTAGTTCTGTGAGTGCAGACTGTGGTAAAACTGTTGTTGCACTTCTAGGTTTAAACAAAAATTAAACCTTTAACTGAGGCAGTGCTAATACTGTGACATAACCAAGTTCTGGCCTAACACAGAATCATTATAGAAAATGAAATCTTTTTTTTTTTTCCTTTTTTTCTTTTTTTTTTTTTCTTTTTTATCATCTGCACATGTTTCAGGCAATACCTGGTACACAGAAAATGACTAAAGTTATTGGCCAGGCCAAAATAAAACTGCAGAAACAAAAAAACCCCAAGAATTCCACCCCAAGCCCCTTCCCACCCTCCCTGTCCCCAAAAAGAAGTTATCCTAGTCACTGTGTCTTTCACATTTTATAAATATTAACTTCTTAAAACCTCCACCTTCCTCTTTGTCCACATATTGTCACATTACAAAAAAGAAATGTCAATTAAATACATTGTTAACATTACTAGACTAGATCTGCCCTCTGTTTCAGCCAGTCTGACTCTCTGCACCACTTCTCACCTTCTCTTGCCTGCCTCCTGTCCACTCAACAGCATGTTCATGATAAGTCTGGGTTTTTTTCCTTTTTTTTCCCCCCTCTCTGTTTTAACACTAACAAACAGAGTCCTTCAAAGCCTAGGAATCCTGGAGCTGAAGGGAAAAGACGACCTGTAGCTTTCTAGCGTGATCCCAAATCTCAAAGACATTGTAGCACCTGATGGCAATATCTTTACAGCACCAGCTGCGTCGCAGCCTCAGTTGAAAAACATAAAGAAACCTAACACCAGTGATGCCTGCACACACATTTACACAGAGTGCTGCATTAGTGCAGGTCTGTACTCCAGTTGAAAATAATTCCGAGTTATGAAGATCTCAGACTCTGGATGTCAGCAATTCCTCGCCAAATCCCATCGCTTCTACCAGCTCAGAAGAGAAGTCCTGCCAAGGGTCATGAAATAGACTTGACTGCTTCCACCTGACCGTACGGAGGCAAAGAAAACCTGCGGAAAAAAAAAAGAGGTTGATAAATTCAACAGGTAGGACAGCAGAGGCTCTAATTTGCCTTTACTGCCCCTGATATTTACAGTGCAATCGCAGTGCTGTGCTGGGTCTGGCGGGGACAGAGTTGACTTTCTTCACAGCCGCCCATACGGCGCTGGGCTTTGCGTTTGTGGCTGAACAGGGTTGTTACCACACCAGTGTTTTGGCTGCTGCTGAACAACGCTTGCACAGCATCAAGGCTTTCTCTCTGGCCCCCTCGCCCCTCAAAGGCCAGTGGGCTGGGGACGGCAAGAGGCTGGGAGGGGACAATGCTGGGACAGCCCACCCAAACTGACCAAAGGGATATCCTGTAGCATGTAACGTTATGCGCAGCAATAAAAGCTCAGAGGAAGGGAGAGGACGGGGGGGCGGTGGGACACACTGTGGTGATATTTGTCTTCCCAAGCGAGTGTTACGTGTGCTGAAGCACTGTTTCCCAGGAAGCGGCAGGACATCTGCCTGCCAGCGGGAGGTGGTGGAGTCCCCATCCCTGGAAGTGTTCAAAAAACGGGTAGATGTGGCACTTCGGGACGTGGTTTAGTCTAGTCTACCCTTGATTGGCTTAGAGTAGACTTGGTAGTGCAGGTTAATGGTTGGACTGGATGATCTTAAAAAGGTCTTTTCCAACCTAAACGATTCTATGATTCTATGAATTAATTCCTTATTTTGCTTGGCTTGCATGGGCAGCTTTTGCTGTCCTTACTGAACTGTCTTATCTTGATCCATGAGTCTTTTCGCGTTCCTTCTATTTTATCCCCATCCCACAGGAGAGGGGAGTGAGCAAGAGGCTGGGTGGGTGTTTGGCTGCTGGTCGGGGTCAACCCACCACAAGTACCCAGTTAAAGTACACGTTTACTGTCTTGGCAAGAAACTAGGGGGGCAGGAATTATACCTTGTCATTGCGTTCGCATAAAAACTTGAGTCTTTGCGCCCTTTTGTGCATGAACACACCATCCAAGTGTCCAGTTTCCACCGATCGTATTTCGATAGCTTTTTCTCCCCAGCCCATAATCTGGTTGGATCGGATGTACGCTTTGGAAAGAGAACACAGCACACAGGCCATTAGGACAGGTAGAGGGCAACGTGGAGGAACTGAAAAGGCAGAGGAATATACTGATGCACTCCAGTTAAAAATGACCTGCATGTACTTATTATAACTACACTCATGTTCAGAGTGCTATTTCCGTCTTCAGCATCTTCATGATGCCTAAAAATACCTTTTGTTTTTTAATTTCCCCATGGGTTTTCCACATTAGTAATACGCATCTTGCCTGAGCGTTCATGACACAATGGGAACCTTCCACTCTTCAACTAAATGGAAGGAACATGAGTTTTTATGTAGGCTTTTTCTCCCAAGTTTGGCAAAGAGACAGGCTAATTAGGTGTTGAAAAGGAGAAAGGAGAGCCCAAAGTTTAAACAGACTAAACCCATCCACCCTGATACGTCCCCAGCACCAGCTCTGTGTTTTACAGTGTTATCTTCTCTCCTTGAAGGAGTTTGTCAGCAAAAACAGAGAAAGGGGAGAGGGAAAAGGAAAAGTAGAAAAAAAAATGAGCTAGCCTCCTTTAATAGGAGTAATACTTCAAAAACCTGCTCTCCTTCTTGAGAAAGCAAATTGGTCTGAAAAGTATTCTGTGTATCTTAAAAGAGGTTCATCTTAAGCTCTCCAAGTGGAAATTACTATTATTTGTCATACTGCTTTCCTCTGTGCACAAATAAAGCAAAAAACCAAGCATTTTTCCTTAAGGGTGTCACTGGGGAAAACAGATTAGTAGTAGCATGAGGAAAAAAATCTGTTCTTGATAGCAGTAAAAAAATCAATTAAAGGAGAAAGTCACTAGCATTATGAAAAGGTATATTCAAAAAGCAATTTGATGGATAGTCTTAGGAATGCTGCCAAAAATAACATATGGGAACTTAGTGAAGAATAAGCTGTTGCCTCTGATTTGCATCCATACTTAACAGAAAAATAAAAAGAAGAACAATAGCTCTTAGCAAGCAAAATTCAAAAATATTTAATTTTGAGGTACTTCCCTTTTATAGAATTTTTCTCATTAATTTTCAGTGAAATTAAATCAAATTATCTACTACAGTATAATGTACACCTATAACATCACATATACCATCATGCTGGAAATTTACTTATTTTTAAATATGTCACTAGTGGTAACTGGGCCAAATTGCTGCTGAAAACTGTCAGATGAGATATTCAGATGGTGTTGGCTGCCTCTGTGCCATCTACTTCACAGACACTCCAGTCCCCAAAGGCTCTGCAATTTGCCAGCTGATAAACGCTGCTTGCTTTTAGATCTAGTCAAGAGTTAATCACCACAGGAGTGAACATGCTGTGCATGGAACTTCTTTAAAGTTCCTCCTCCATTATTGTTCGCGTTGCTCGAACAGCTATCAGCAGTCATCTCCCAATACATGCATCCATTCCAAAGCACGTAAAACTCAATGTGTTTGCTCGACAAAAAGAAGGTTGTGACCATAGCCCATGCTACGCTCAGCACTGAAATACGTCAACACAGGCAGTAAGAGGGATCCTGGTGGGTACTTGTGTCTGTAACAAATCTGCACCCATTTTATTACACTCGTTGCTCCCACTCTCAAAACTAATTGAAGTGAATTAAAGTAAACACATCAAATCAGATATACAGCCACTATCAACACAGAATTACCCATAATAATATCTTACCCATATGCCACCTTACATGTCTTTATACTGAAAGGTTTCCACAACTGTGTGGTTGTCTAGCAAAAATTCTGTAGCTGCCCGCTGCGGCCCTGCTGTTTATTAAACGAGTTTTTCATTCCTGAACTCCACAACTTGCTTGTTTGGATTTTGTTCTTAAAACCTCAGCACAAAACAGATCCATATGATCACTCTCCACTCTCCACTCTGCGCAGCTGTTTTCCAGAATACTACAGCATTGCTGCTTCTGAATCTGAAGTCAAACCTGATGCACCTTCCTTCTGCCTGCGTGCATACGCTCACACTCCCTAACAGCACGCTGCCTTTGACTCTGCCGAGGCACTTACCAACCGAAGTCGGCATTTCTCCCCACTGTAGAACCACATCCTTGGTGATCCTTCCGTACGTGTTGACATAAACTCCTTCATCCTCATAGCAGACCAGTAGCTCCATCCCATCCGTGTTTGGGAGAATGATGATTGCATGAGGTTGGATACTGCTCTGGATCTACAGAGATGGAAGAGAAGAGGAAGCCTTTTTGTTTTAATGCCACAGAGCCTGCACTGGGAGAAAGGGTTGGGTGATTTTTTGATTTTGGCTGACAGCACATCAGTGATTCACTCACTTTAGAAGTGCTAGCCCTGCTCTCTCCAAGCTAGACACGCCACACAGTGACAAAAAAAGACCTGGAAACCTTTGGGGCACAAATGCTCCCATCTTAAGGCAGACATCTAAAACCAGCAGTGCCCATTTCTTTCCATGGGCAGAAGGGAGTCTGGGGCAAGCAGCCCACATGCAGACCTCAGACCTCTGCACTGTAGTGAATAGTGCTTGGGGAGGTGCACTGCACACTGCAGGCCCATCTGACACCTCTGTGTACAATGAACAACAGGAAACCTTGGCAGCTAAGGCCACCTGGCCTTTGCCAACCCTGTTGAACATTATCAGTGAGCTGTCATGTCATTTGTACTGCCACCTTCCCCGCAGCCCTTGCCGGGCATTTGCAATGCACTCGCCCATTTAGCTGCTACCCCTGAAACAGTCATATTTGCCCACATCAGATCTGAGTGGGCAGCCCCCACCGGAGACATACTGACCCTGAGGAGAGGACAGAGAGTGAGGCACAAGCCCCTAAGCACAGGTGGCCGCATCTGCTTGGACCCCTCCACCAAATTTACCTCTGACAGCATTTGGCAGTGATCCACAGGAACAGCCTGACATGTTGGTCATCTGAGGAAAGGAAGGGGTGGGGGGAACCAGAAAGAAAGAAAAAGCCCGACCCCAGCAGCAGCTCTTACATGTGTTGGTAGATAAATATCATAGACCGATCCTGAATCCACATCAACGGCATGGAAGCCAGCGCAGGAGCCATAGATCACTTTTAGTCTCTGACCCTCTTCTACGGTTAGATCCACCAGCAATGGCTTATGTACCAATTCTCCAAATGACTGTTAAGACAACCATCAGTGAGATTTATTTTACTGCTTAGAACCACTGTGGATATTATAAAAACATGCTCTAATGCACATATTATGGGTTTATTCCTCCCACATCCCTCTGGCCCCCATGCACCAGACCAGTCAGGCTAACATGTCTCTCATGGACAAGGACAGATTACTCTGCAACCTCTTGCATTTCAATCACGTAGTATTGTAAGCTATTTTCTGTGGGGTTTACTTTAGTTGGTCTGTTTGGTTTTTTAGTAAGAACTGTTTTCCCCAAAGTTCAGGGCAATTTGACACTCCTGTAGTGTTTACTTCAATCTGCACAACCGACAGTAACTGATTGTCTGCAAATCAGTCTGGTAATTATACCAAGCCAGCTAACTTCATTCACGCTGCATTCAAAAAAATAACAATGCTCAGTATCACTTAATGACTTGTTCTGCTCAGATGAAGATGTTTAGACTCATTTCACTTCTCTCTGCCTCATGTTTTATTTATAGAGAGATGAAACAAACAGTTGTGATGCTGTGTCATTTCGATTATTAGTTTATGCTCAGTTACAATTTAGAACTTTAAATGTACTGCCTCTTAGAGCTGAAAAAGCTCTTAAATTAAAATATAATACGAAGTTCACGGCAGATTTACCAAAGAACTTATAAGATGGCCATGATAAAATGCTGGAGCATTTTTGTAAAAGAAGTAACTGCAAGTGGATATATGAAAATCCTACATATGGCTGAAATATACTGTTACCTTAAAGGCCATAAATTTATGGTATGGCTTTGGTGCCCATGCATAGACTTCCACAGAACTCTTCAATGCAATTACCAAGAACTTGATTCTTTCATATTTTACTGAAATTAAAACAAAACAAACAAACAAACAAATTCAGCAGTAATTCCGAAGTCATTCCAGTTACTTCAGGAAAGCAGAAAATGACAACATTTCTCCATACTTCCATACATTTGGACGTTTCTAGTAACACTGCATTTTGGGATTGCTAATTCTATGTAGTTTTTTGACATATTTATGCTACAAAAATAATTATTCTTATCAGTAACTGAACCTGTCACCACGTTTTGAATTACCTAGCTGGTATACACTTATGTACACTTACTTTCTTCAACATTAGACAGTGCTTACTCATCAAGACAAGAAAATTAGTTTTCAGACAGGGGCATTTCCAATAAAAGAAGCCTATGACTGTGGCAGAATGTATTGGCAGTTCCAGTCAGAGCACTGACAGTGGTATTTTGAGCTGATAGCAAAATTCCCCAGGGAAAGGAGGCAAAAAAGGGAACTGAAATGAAAAATTAAGAAACAAGTCCATTTCAAAAGCAAAAGGCAAGTTTGATAGTGGAGCACTTTTCTTTGTCCCTGAAGCCTGAGAAAACTCATTAAAAAAAAAAAAAATCCACAGAATTTATCAGAAATAAAGTGTCATGAGATGGCTGATCCACAAATTCTCAAATAGACCTCTGTTCCCACATCAAACAGCTGGCTAAATTAACCATCAAAAAAAGCTCTGTTCACTACTTCTGTTTTCAAGAGGAGACTGATAAAGTCTAGAAACAGCCATTCAAGAGGTGCTGCTGGATCTGCACTTCCAGCTGCCGCCTGGATTTGGGGAGGAACAGATCATGGGTACTTCCAAATGTTGAGGTTTGTTAACCTCTTTCCAGCACTCTTTTTGGGGGAGAAGAAAAAAATTAGCATTATTTGCATGCCATTGAGAAACCTCAGGAGGTTTCTGGTATCTCTTTACCCCAAGTTTTAGGGGAATATGACACTTTTGCAAAACAATGAGTAATTCTGTGCAGCTTCACCTTCTGCCATTATTTCTCCCAACCAAAACTGATTTTGAAACATGGCAGGAGTGAAAATCTCAGACTTGTGAGAAGAACACTTCTTTAATAAATACGATTTCAATGCCTTTTAGATCTCTTACTACTGCACAAGCCTACAGTTGTTGTCTCTTGGTAGGCAACAGGGAGACAAAGCTACTTGCTCCCTTTTTACTCTGCAGGGAAGCAAGACTACTGAACTGTAAGTGTTAAACGATGTGACAATTTTTCAACAGACAAAAAAAAAAGTCTCTCAACCTCCACAGCTGTACCAACTGAAAAACAGAGCTTTTGTTCAGTCTTGTCTAGCTTACAAGACTTCTTGGAATTTTTTTCTCAAGGAAGAGGGGGTTGTCGAACAAAACCACCTTATCTGTGAAAGGGGACCTTTGGTAATCCTCATTCTTTGCTCTGGGTGCTATCTGGGAATTCACCCAAATCTTAAGTCTCAAAAGAGCAATTTATCTTTTAGAGGAGCCAAAAACTGCCTGAAGCAACCGAGATCCATAAATACTACTTCATTCACCCTGACATCCGAGACCCCTGTTGCATCAAAGAGAAAAGGAAGCGATCAGTGCCAGCTGCCTCGGCGGCAGCCTCCAGACCGCGAGCCCAACTATTGGCAGAGCTCATCCTTCTCAGGAACTGAAGCACAGCTGTCAAAGTGGCCTCTCACTACCTGAAGAAGCCATCTATGGTTCAGAGGGAAGTTCAGTGCCAGGCTGCAGCCCCGGGTAACAAAACCCTCTTCATCTGGAAGAGAATGCTCTTTGTATCACACGCTTCCCTGCTGGAAAGCCTCCTTTCAATAGCTGTTAATGTATTGTTAACAGGCCACTTCATTATGCTGCTGACACCCTGGGGTATGATACCAGAGAAATACATTATTAATTGTTTTTGGGGTCAAGCTCCTGGTTACATCGTTACTGATTACGCCCCACTAGCAGGTTTTTCCAAGAGCACACGCGTGACAGGAGGAGACTGAGCTCAGTCGGATTGCTGCTGCTCCACATTGACTGACACAGCTGGAAAGGAACCGAGCTGGCTCTTAGGAGAAAACCAAATCAAAGGCAACATCCAGGGTCCATTAAGATGCATCACGAGACTGAAGCAGGAGAAAGAGCTCTTGGTTCATATCCCCACCTGCAGGGCAGCAGGCTCACTGCATACTCTGCTGACAGTGAATGCTACATGTCTTTCGCTAGTTTTGGTGAAAGTTTCTAGGCCAAATCCATTTAAATGACTTAAAACCGCTCAAAGGCACCTGCCTAGTGAAAACACACTTCATCCCGTAACTGTGCTGCAGTGGATATGAGATGGCATTAGGAAATTTCATGAGCTAACGGGAATCAATGAGTCATCTTGAAGTTAAACGTACGCTTCTGTTCCCAGATGCCTCCCCAAAGCTCACGCACTAGCTGGGCTTGCTTTCTCCTCCCACTCTCTTTTCTTTTCCTTTTCTTTTTTCCCCCCGGTTTTTAAAATCTACATTAAAGAGGAGACTTTTTTCATTCCGTTCCAGCATGTGATTTCATCACGGTACATCAGGGAAACCTGTTAGTGAAGAGAAGAGCTGCTGGCTGACAAGAGTCCCTCTGTTACCTAGAGGGTCTAACAGAGGTGGCAAAATGTTACCACAGCCCTCACTGGCCGTATTAGCACTCTTCTGGAAGCTGCATCCGCCACGGGAAGGAGACAGATGGGCATCTGCACCCGCTCCAGTTCACAGCCCAGCATCCCACCACAAACCCTCTCCCATGTTCAGTTTAACCCAGTAACTTGCCACCTATTCTGGCGCTTCGCCAGAAAAGTTCGCCCTGAGGGACAGGGAAGACAGCTAGAAATAAAACCCCATCTTAAGCCCAGCAGCTATGTGCACTGCAGTTCCCTTTCTCAGCCGGCTTTTATCCCGACAATTTGATTACCGGATTCGCTACTCACCAACTTTATAGTGCACACAGCCTTCCAAGTCGCCCACTGTTGTCCAGCCCTGTTTCTTTTCTACCTCAGGGTCGTTGTGAAGGATTTTATTTCTTAACCAGGACAAATAGTAGACTCGCAACTTGTTCTTCTTACCTGGCCACAAAATGAAAAAGATTGGTTTATCTCCATAGGAAGGTAAGTGCAAAACAACGCTGCCCAAGCAAACAGAAAGCCCTGCAGAGCAAACCAAAATGACAATGGAGAAGCTGCTGCAACCAGAGATCTCCCTCAGTTTTTACATCCACAACAGCTTTACTCCAGACTCCACCCAATCACACACTTTCCCAATAAGCAATGACAGAGACACATGGTAATACTACATGAACCTAAAATAACAAAATCAAGGGAACAGCTCTTCGGTTGTCTGGGTCTTAGGATGCAAACAACATTTTTAGAAAAGGGTTATACTCCCACAACAAAAGCACCAGAGAGTCATGCACTAAGATTAAAAAAAAAAAAAATAGCTGAGTCAGAAAGTCTCTTTTTTGCACAAAACTGTGAGAGAGCAGCAGGATGGAACCTGAGGCCCGATATTATCTATACAGCTATCAGAAGTGAGTAGGACTGGTTTGAAAGGAGGAAGCAGAAGTGAAGAAGAATACGGTGATGAAACATATTTTACAAATTCTTTCCAGTTAGTGACCAGGACATTTCCATCCCTTATAACATCCTTGGGGACACAAACCGATAAAGTTTTATTAAGATTGTTCATTATTCCCCTGATGGAAAAGCACATAGCACAAACAATTTCATGACGGAACCACTTTACACCAGTTCTGTTGTAAGGAAAAATATCAGAAATTGCGGTGAGAGAATTTCACACGGCCCATACAAACTTCATCCGCTTGCTAAAAGCTGACGACTGCTTTGTCAGCAGCCCTTCCCTTGTGCTGCAAGGGGTGTAATACTTATCAGGCTGCACACAGAAACTGGAAGAGGTGTTTCTTCTCCACAGGTGAGAGAATCTACTTGCCCAGGCTGCCCTACCTTCAACTGACAATGCATCTGCCACGCTCATCAAAATACAGCTGAGAGTCTTAACTCTCAGTAGGAGAAGGCCTCCTTGAATGCAGAGCAAGGTTCATGATAAACTTTATCAGTGATTCTTTCACAACTAATGGCATTTGCTGAACTAGTTAGAAGGTGGCCCTAATGCACATACTCAAAGCTTGCATCCTCCTTCCTCCAGCTGCTTTGCTGCCCGAAGCCATTACAGTCCCACAGATGAAACTGGAGGCAAAGAGAGATCGTCTCTGCTTTGACTAGGAGCCATTTAATAAGGCTCTATGAGGTCTCTGCGGAAGGAAAGGAAATAGGAGATGCTCTCAGGGACCCAACCCGTCAGTGGAGTACTCCCATGCTAGTGCTTCACCAGCCACGATGAGGAAGCCGTGTGACTGCGGATGGTGTTTTACGGCCCTTGGAGCTGAGAGGAGACAGCTGCCCCGTCCTGCAGCCAGTGCTGGGCTGGCCAAGTGCCACAGTACTGCTCTACACTGCAGAAAGCCACGACCTGTCAGGACGGTCCACCTGGCAACCTGCCAGCTAGACCCAGCTATAGGGTTTAGCTAATGCCTTTAATTTGTCTTCTAAATTTTCACACAATGCCTACCAATGGATCAGTTCATGGATGGCTGCTCATTTCGGAGACGGGGATGGGTGTACAGCATCAGGGGATACCGGTTACGGCAGGACGTGAAGCCCCAGCATTGAGACCGTCCTACTGCGCCCAGCCAGCTCTACACTGGGGGCCTGGAGCTGGCGCAGAGCCCCAGCCCTGATGCCAGGGGATCCCCTAACAGAGCTGGGCTCAATGGGAAAAGCAACTCCAAGGGCTGGGGCAGCGCATGGGGAGGCACAGTTTGCAAACAGGCTGCTCCGTGGACTCCAGCGCCACAAGTCTTTCTGTTGTGAAGACACACAGCCTGAAAGATCTTTTCATAATTATTTGGATGGGGAAGGGCAGGAGGAAAAGAGGAGGCAGTTTCAAAGTCAAAAATCTGTTCACTGGGCTTAAATTTAAAGTGGAATTAGAGACTCATTTTCAAATACTGGACCTGCTATTTAATTTTAAAAGCCCCTCTGCTCTAACTGCACCAAATGAAACGTGAAGTAACATTGCACTGTCCTTTGTTTACCTCTACTACAAATGTGAAAGCGGATTTGGCAATAAGTGAGCACCCTGATTTATTGCCTGACTTCATATTTATTAAGCCAAATTTCATAAATGGATAAAGCCCCGCCACTGCCATAGCTCTGTAAGATTTGGAAAAGGGACCAGAGCACGAAACAATATCCCCAGAAGTCCCACATCTGACCAAGGAAAAGTCCTCCCATGAAAATACTGCAAATGATAGCCACAAGGGCTCTTTCAGAAACACTGAAATAGGGAACACAGTCCGGACCAGAAGGCACTGCAGTTGTGGGTGAGGAAGAGCTCAGAGAGCACAGGAGAGCTGAAGGTCAGTACAATGCATCCAATGTTTTTAAAACAAACACGAGTCCCTGTGCACCAGCAGACAAATTCTCTCCCACATATTTCCATGGCTTTAGCTTCCCCAGTAGCTTAGTCAAACTTGAAGACTCAGAACAAACAGTACACACGGGAATTTCCCAGCACGTGCCTAATTTTTTTTTTTTTCTTCTGCTTCACATGATGTGCCAGGGTACTTTTCTCCAACCAGAAACATTTTTCAAAACAACAACAGAGAAATATCTCAAGCGTGTTCCCATTGTGTTTTAGTGTCTAGACCACAAGGAAAGTCACAAGACAGGAAATTCCTCTGCCTTTCACCAACCTGACATGAAAAGAGCAGGAGCAGTTAGTTATATAAACTTGGCTGTGTGTGTATTTTAACAAGTTATGCTGCTCTTAATATGTGTATTGGGAGCAAGGGGAGATTAGATCCTTCTGCTTGTAAATCTCTACCAGTTAGTTTAAAACGCTCTCAAGAATCTGGGGGGGCTGTGGGGGGGGTGGGGGGTGTTGGTCCAATTGTTATGGCCATGAAATAAGAATGAACACTCTGCTCCAGCCATCGAATGAACTGATCAGCCAGTGACTTCTATGAGAACTCACAGCTCTGGTTCTGCCACAGACATCGTTTCAAATGCAAAGTCCCTTTTCCTATATTGAGTTTTTGTTTTTATTGTTACTGTGGGTTTTAATTATCAAGCAGGCAGATTCCAACCAGTTATTCTACTCTGTCATCCCTTGGTACCTTCCCGAGTGCCACCATCAGCCAGCTGGGCTGGCAAAACCTTCAGGGAGCCACAAGCAGAGTGTGTTCTGTGTGCACATCATCGCTCTCTCTCCCAGCGCTTTTATGACTCTCAGCACTGTATTACCTGAATAGCTGAAACTGTGGTTTTGCCTCCCAACAGTATGAACTGAAGAGCCGATTAACTACTCTGCTTTGACCTGCAAAGCTTTCTTGGACTGACTGTAGCAGCTCAGTGTCTCAGTATCAAAAGCTTTGTTATCAATAGGTTTGATATTTGAGGTATACATTGGGGGAAGAACTGATTTCAGGTTTCCAGACTCAAAAGAGCGTATTAAAAGCAATTTTAGGTGACGATTCCCTCGAAACCCTAATGCACCGCAACTACTTCGCAAAATGTGGTGACACTTTTCAAACCTCACCACCGTCAGCACATCACTTCCCAAAAAAGACGAGGGAACATACAGCCAAGAGCGCCGCAGAGAGCTGAGCAATGCTCCCAGCAGAGCAGTAGCAGTCCTGGGACAAAGCTCAGAGGCAGCTCCGTAACCAAGCTGCCAAAACGCACCACGTGCAGAAACACGTCCCCATGTCAGCGTTTCCAGTTTGTCTGGAGAGGTGGAGCAACTCACTACAAATAAAGACACTAAGAGAAGTCCAGCGTGAGGGTAGCTTAAACTGAGCACTGAAGCACAGAAGCCAGAACAGGAAGGTAAGGGGCACCTGAGCATAAAAGCATCACGGTTCCACCAAGTGCGCTCCCCCTGCCCTGCCTCTCGGTGGGCAGGGATGCCTCTTTCCTGCCTCATACTCCAGTAATCTCCCACAAAATGCAGGAGATGGGACAGAGACGAAGGCATAAACCAGCCAAAGATCAGCTGATTTCTTAAGGGTTAATGTAGCGTGTCTCCACAGAGGAAGCAATAGTTCTGAAGGAAACAAAGAAAACGGATGTGTCAGGGTACTCAGATTGTGACTGATGTGAACGTAAATAAACCTAAAACAATTACACACAAGATTGAATCACAGACACTTGTCATCTGTGTAGGATATGCTTCAAACCAACAGATTTCACACAAGTTGGATTATACAATATTTTTGTTTATAAGGTCTACTATAGAATAAACTATCAAATGGTGCTTTTCAAACAGCTTACGTTTTAATGTACCGTGTTAGACATCAAAAGGACACACAGCAGGCTGTGTTTTTCTAAACCCTCCTTGATTCACCTTTTCATTTCACAGCATAGCTGTAGCTGAGAATGCAGCAAGCAACAAGCCAATAAAACATGGATGTTCTAGACAGAAACAAAGTCCCATGTTGACAACACCAGCATGGGCATGGTTGGCTCTTTGGACCTGTAGCAGTATAACACCACTAATGCATTAAATTGCATTAAATTCTCTAGGCGTGTCTCCTTTTGCACAAGTGCTGGCAGAGCCAGAGAGCTCCTCCCGTGGAATCAGAGGGGCTCTGGAGACTCAGCGAAATTTTGTGTGACTCTGAACACCACCACAGGGGCCACTGTGCAAAACCTCATTTAACATCCTCATCCTGTCACACATGCGCAGCGTAACAAAGGCTGATTTCACAAACAAACTAAAACAAAAGGAAAGGTAAGTGGCTGAACGACACCTGTGAAGAAAGATTAACAGTGCACCACATCAAGTTGCTTAACAGCAGGATAACCTTATGCAATAACTCTCTGGAGCCAAAGAGTCTGGAACCTCAAGCTTCACAAAACACATTTTTCATTGGCGCACACAAAACAAACACAACAATCACCACCACCCTTCATCTCCCCTTGCTTTGCCGTCTGCAGTTGCATCCAGTGAGAGACAAGGCCAAAAGCTGCACCGATCTGCCTTCTCACACTGATAATTTCCACATCACGTACACATTGTACTCCCCTCTTTCTCAAACACACACAGACTCACTGCACATCACTCTTATTTCCCTACTTCGCAAGAGCATTTCCCATTCTACAGATTTTAACACACAAGATGTCTTTAGACCCAAAGAGCAAATTATGTTTTGGTTAGGAAGAGGCCAGGTTGAAAGTATTCATGACAGAAGGAAAGAATGCCATTTTTACAAACTTCACAAAACATTAACTTACAGCTCCCAAACACTGAACAAACAAACAAAGCTGGACGTTTCCCCCAAACCCATGCAGCATTTTTAAAGGCCACCCCACGGGAGGAAGGACAGGGGGCAACCAAGCACAGGGTGTTGTGAGGAAAGTGATTCACTTGCAGAAACGAACTGTAGACTCAGAGAGGTGAAATGATGGAAAACCCGCTGACTTCAGTCAAGTCAGGACTTCCCCCTCAACACATAGGCTGCCAAGAAAAGCGTTCTGCCATGCCATGCCAGAAGGGGGAAAAAAATCATGTTGAAAAGTTAACTTTACCAGAAATTGTCACCAAGACATTCAGCCCTTCAAGTACATCCATTTGCTGGAATCGTCTTCGATTGATGAGTGGATAAACCTTCCCCTGACCGCTTCTGTCCAGCAGCATCAGACCACTCTCAGTGCCCACTAACAAGTTCACTCCTAGAAGAAACAAGAACAGAGATCCAAGTTAGTAGGCAGATTTTCCACATACTCTGATGAACTGATGCTTGATATAGCAACTGTCTTGTTTCAAGCAGGTCTAACCACTGCTGGTTGGGTCTCAGCTGCCTGCAGCCTAAAAGATCTCGTGATGTAGAGGCTGTTTACATTACCTGCCTGCAGTGACTACTGACGCCAAACTGCAGTGTTCAACAGAGTGAGAGACTGGTAGACCATGGAGAGCTTTCTAGAGCACCAGTTCCCAAACAAAAAGAAACGCTAATGTTGGAGCAGAGGTGAGCCACAAAGTGGTACCCAAGCTTATGTACTCCAAAGATGTATCAGCTATTGGTAGGGACGTCGGTAACAGATTGCTCTTGACAAGGACAATACAAAAAAGCAGTGGTAGGGGCTTGGTCCCCACTGGGAGAAACAGAGTGTGGTGCAGCCCTCCTGTAAAAGGATAGGCACAGGGTTGGTCCTCAGCTTCCCAACAATCTTTTCCATCTAAATGTTAAAACTAGAAGAATTACAGTAATCTTGTGTTTCCACAGATTTCTCCTAAAGATCAAGCAAATACAGATGAGAAAAGTCAGTAGGCCAGTTTCTTTCTACAAAGGTCCACACATGCACTGGAACGCTTTCTAAGACACCACAAAACCTTAGTATTTAAAACCAACTACATTTTTTTAGTAATAAATACATATATATGAGACTAGGTTTTTAAAAATCTATTAATGTATTAGCACTCTTAAATTTCATGACTATTTAATTACAACAGTGATTCAGTCTAGGACCCCACAAATTGTTCTGTGTTGCAATCCCAATATAAAACTTGTCATCCTTAAGCATAATAAAGTAATGAAATAAGAAAAGCGGAAGTCACGCAAGGTGTTCATAGTTATATTGCTTAACAGCCTTAATCCCTAGTCAGATAATTAATCCTCAGATATAACTATACTGGTGCCGATGGATGTATCATCTGGGCTGATTCTGCAACAAACCTTTTCTAATGCAGCACGTGGGCCCAATACACAGGAATCTGTATCTCGTTGCGGTCTGCATCTATGGCAGTGACATGCCTTCTCAGTATCGAAAAAGGGCATTGCTCACAAGGACAAGGAACACTACCTAAACAACACCCTGGCCACCAGAAACGGGAGCAGTTTGCAAAAAGGAGAGCATGTTCACCCTGACCCAGAGGGCATGGGGTGTCTCCCAAAGGGGACAGGGTGTTAGAGGGGAGCAGAGCTGCAGCCAGGAGGAGGTAATGATGGGGAAGGGCCCTGAGCTGCTGGTGCTGGGGCACTCTGAAAAGCCTCTGGCTGGAGGAGAAAAATAGACGTAGCCCATGGAGAGGTCAGAAACCATCATGTACCTCTCTTGCCTTTTCAGTAAGGAAACTTCAGAGGTCCCAGCAGTTCCCGCAAACCATCCCCTCTCTCTGCTCAGATTTGCTGCTCTGCTACTCCTCTGCCTCCTCCAGGCAGGAGAGCCCGCAGACGCCGGCAGGCGCAGAGCCCATCTTGGGAGAGGGCCCGCAGCCCTCCTGGGCTCTCCTGCAGCTGCTGACACCTCCTCTGTCCCCTTCCTGCCCTCCTCCTGCCTCTGCATCCCCCACACGGGTCTGCACCTGCTGGGTCCCAGCCCGCAGCCCCACATCAAGTGTCTCCCATAGTGAGAGACATCCTCAAACTGGGAAGCGGCAGAAGGAAGCAGGGAGAGCGAGGCACGCACTGAGGCAGGGCTCGGCACAGGCTGCAGCAGCACCAAACCAGCCAGGGAAGCACCCAGCAGTCGGTCTCGTTCCTGCAGCTCCAGGACCTGTTGACTAAAGCTGCAGGTGATTCAGCTTCGATAGGTATTTTTGTATTTTTTCCAGCACGGACTACAATTCAAAAGCAAGCCTCATGCAAACTGCTCCTTCAGGGTCCCTTCCCCTCTTTGCGCATCAGGGCTCAATCGCTCCCGCCTCCACCCTCATCTCTTCCTCTGCTGCCTTTGCGGTTCAGCTGTTTCTGCTTTGAGTTTACATGCACGCCCGTCCCCGAACCCTTCCCTTAGCTATATGCATTTTGAGATGAAACTAATGAGGTACTCTGCTGGTGGCAAGCAGTGCCTGTATTTTAAAACGCAGGCGCTGTCTTTATTCACAGCCAGCAGAGCTCTTCTACTGCCACCCTACAATTAAGCAGTTCTGGTTTTTCAAACAAATGGAAATGCTTCCTGAAAAAGCACAGGCTCTCTGTGGAGGCTGGGTGTAAAAATCTATGCTACTGCATCCATGTGATTAACACTGACTTTCACCACTCAGAACTAGAAGAAACAGCATCATAGACCTAATGCCATCAGCAGCCTGCCAGATACTATGGCTTTACCACTGGTAAAGGCAAAGCGAAACAAAGCAAAGCAAGCCCCCCTCTTTTTGCATAAGAAACATTACCATGAAATGGCTTAATTTGCTTAAGGGTAAAGGAAGCTAAACCTTATCAAGAAATAAGCATGTGTACCAGCTTGCATCACCATCAGTTTGGACCTAAATGTTCAACAAGGAAGTGCTTTGTTACAGCTGTAAAACACCCCTAGGATTTTATACTTATTCTTTAAATCACCATAGCAGTCAGATACACAGATCAAAGACATATAAAACTATTAACACAAATTGCTACTGGCAAAACAAGGCAGATCAGAGAAATTATGAGTCATCTTTACTGATCCCATATGATTTCTCTCTGCCTTCACCCTCTCACAGCCTGAAAGTTTACATTTTCACAAGTCTTCATTTTATCAGAGAATTATTCATATGAATACATGCAGAAATAGCACTGGGGTAAAAATTCTTACCAGTAAATTCTAGAAATAAAGAAGACAGCAAACATGAAGATAAGGTGTCGGGAGAGCTATTTAATTGACGTGGCTTTGCAGGCAAGAAGGATAGGACAACAGTGCTGTTCTGATAAACAAGAAATGCTGGAAATAACCCCAAAAGAAAACTAAAGCCTTGGAAAGAGCTGTGCAAATGTAAACAAGGAAAGTGCACTGTGTTACCTACACAATCATCGTGTGACTCAGGAGAATGGCCAACTCTCTTCCTCATAGTTTTAAAAATGACATGCATGTGTATTTACAGTCTGTTAAGTTTAGGGATGCTAGATAAATACATACGTGATATACACAAGCATCACCTATTAACAACTAGATAATGAAAAAATTCAGGTGGGCCCATAGATTCTGTCCAAGAAAGAAATGACAAAGCAGAGAAAAGCTTTTGCTGGGTGTTGCAGCAGTGATTCCACATGGTAGCAGGCAACAAGCACTCCTCTAAGCCTTTCACCAGTGTGGGATCCTGACTAATTGCCTGACACCGACATAAATTATCCCTTGTGACAAGAAGGCCAGACACACTTGGTCAGCTGACATCCCATACCCAGCTTCCCCCTGCACTAACCACTCTTAACGAAACTAAGCCACACTCTCACACTGGAAAATGTCCCTCCTACCCTTCTCTTTTCCCTCTTCCTTCCTACATAAACTGATGACTGGGGTGGAAAGTCATCTTACGAAACACATTTTAATCAAGCTCCACACCAATACATTAGCAAGAGGCTCAAGAAGATGATTATTTTTCTAACGTAATACCCTACGTGCACCAGGTGTACAATGCAAAGATGACCACAAGTTTCCAAACGTTGCAAGAGATGAACTAATGGGGGCTAGCAAGAAAAGGACATCCTGATCAGCTGAACGAAGTCTGAACTGTGCCATCAGAAGCATATATACAGCAGTGGGAAATTATATCAAAGCAGAAGCAACATAATAATAATAATAATCAGCTCTTGCAACAGAAAGATGTAAACAAGCATTGAATAAATGCAGAGAAACAGCTAAGGTTTCAGAGATACATTCTCGAAGCCCGTAAGCTCATACTGACACGTCTGCACTTCAGAAGTGCAGGAAGCAAGGGAGGAACAGGTTCACATTACCCCATAAGGCAGCACACAGTATCTCAGAATTGAATCTCTTCTTGTATTTGCGAATCTCCGGGGTATCACTCTGTGGCCGCGTATTCGTGGGATTCACATTGACAACTGATCCTTTCCGTGTAGGGTCTTGCCTTATTGCCTCTGATCTCATTGCTTCAGTAGGAAATCCTACTGCAAAAAAGTAAAGTAAAGTGCATGTAATAACCCTTAAGTGCTAAATTCTGGCCATATTTTCTTTACAGCAAACAACCCAAATCAGTAACTGAGACTATTGAGCAAGTCTTTCTTTTTGTAAGAAATGTAAATGGAAAAAGAAATAAACTATGCAATCCATTGCAAATCAAATAAAAAGCATGATGGTAATATTCGTAAGTACTTTAAAGAGCCACTGAAGTCACTGAACCCTTTTTCAATTGTCGTCTTCAGCTACTTTACTTACCCACAGAAGTCACAGTTGTTCCACTAGATGGAGAAATCTGTAGTAATCTGGGGTCTATAAAAGGTGTAAAGGAGGAGGAAGATTTGTGTTTCTGGAGTGTGTTACTAGCGGACTGAGTCTGCAATGTAAATTTCAACTTTATTAATATTAATGACAATAAAAAGCACGGATAACAACAACCAACATTTTTAAGTCACTACAGAATTATGCTACAAAGCCTCCCCAAGCTTTTATACTTCCTTTACAGATACACAACGCACAGCAGGCACCACACCTGAACTAGATACATATGCACACTGCACGTTACAGCGAAATGTATTTGGCTAAATTGTCGTCCCTGTCACCTCAGCTGCTAGCGAAGATTTTTAGGACTGGCCGCTACAATCAGGCACAAAGCGAGGGAATGTCTCTTTTTTTAAAAAAAATCTGCTTAAACGTATGTATACTATCTTATCTGCAAGCTGTCCACTACCTACAACTTTTGAATTTATGAAGCATCTCCTAAAATGAGCTAGTTTAATAAATTATGAAGTTTGATCTCTTGGCTTGTGCAACAAAATCAGAACCATCTGGGATCAAGTGTTCACTTCTATAATGGATTATGTTTCAATGTCCACTACTGTTCGTTCTCCCTATTTTGTTTAACCTGAGCCTCTTGCCAGAAAGCTGCAGCAGGTTCTTCCACCTTTATGTGACAAAGCAACATATTAAACCTGTATCGAACAAACGGGCTCATTAGTGTGGAAGGTGTAGCAAACGGTGATATGAAGCTATGGATACGCAGTGGATAAAATCACTGGTGCTTGCTGAGTTATGTGGTCTAAACATGAAAAAACATGAAGAAAGGAAGAAGACAAATGAAACAATGAACTGTTAAAAGTGGAAATGGAATGACCTAAAAACCCTTGCCAGTTTAGTATTATAGTGACAACATTGCATACTGAAGCAGAATGTGACAAGTGGAAAAAAAAAAAGTATATATATAAAGGGCGTGCATGTGGGTAAGTTATACCAAGCAGTGCTGGGTTTTTGCTCAGCTTTATGCAAATGTAGTTAGAGACACTTCTTTATCATCAACTAATCTTCAACCTCTGATCTTTCTAAGCCTCTTACTCTCTGCAGAAAAAACAGCAATGGGTCTTAGGAGTGTACCACTCCCCTGCACAGCTCAATACCGAAAGGCTCCTTCGCCACCAGCCACTGCCACAGCCTCCACTTCCCAACCTGAGTTAACTGAACCCTGCTTATTTATTGCTTAGATCAAAGTAATGAGCAAGCATATCTCTGGATCAATCAACTGATCTCTATGACCTACAAGAGTGTCCTTTTAGAAAGATCAAAGGCCAATGAAGCATAGCTGAAAATTAAGTATTACGCTAACCGAATTTCCAGGAGGAAACCCTCCCACCCACCTGCCTGCTACGTGGTTCAGAAGCATTTTTGATTCTGTGGTAAACACGTGTATTGCCATCAGCCTACCCAGCTCACCGCAACCTCTCCTTCTCGTCACACCACTTGCATGCCTACATGGCACGACGGCTCTACCCTGAGAAGCAGCAGCTTCTTTTCACTGAGTTTTGCTCACCCTGTACCACTCCTGCTTGCATACAGAAAGAGGCTCTCCCCGAGAGCCAGGCTGGCCACCCAGCTGGGAGTGGAGCCACCACACTGGGTTCCTCGCTTATTGCTAGGGTTGGTGAGGGGCGAACGATGCCCTTCGTTCACACGTGTGCATCTCCTCTGCGGTGAGGGGTTAAACACACGTGAAGGACCGGGCTTGTCCACCAGCGCTTGGGGAACAAGGGAAGGCACCATGCCGGGATCAGCCCAGCCTTGCTTCTCCACCTGGACACAACCAGCACTGGTGGAGAACAGCCAACTTCACACAGCTGCTTTTCAGAGTACATACGTACTTGGAAAAAACCCAAAGATCTTCCCTCATTCATTATTCCAAAACAACAATACACCAGGTTTTTACAGCACTCCCGGGCAACACCTGATTTGTTCACCCAGCCCACGTGGCAAGCTTTAAGAGCAAAATCCCTCCATGGCCGCTGTCGCTTCCTCTCCCAAAAGGTGAGTTTCCACAAGCAGCTCCTCATACGTGCGGAGTTACTAGCCCAGCCTTTACTGACAAAGCCAAAATTAACCGCTAATTTTTAAGAGGCACACTGCTTGCAATTAGCTTGCTCCCGGAATAAAACAGAATTAAAAAATAAAAGAGTATTGGCTTGAAAATTCAGTAGTCAAGTTTAGTTTAAAACAAACGCCATGCAATTAATGACTCACTAAGAGGAAGCAAAAATAGTAAACTGGCAAGTTTGGCGTGGGACTGCTCTAGAGTTAAGGGCTTCTTACACAGAACTGAAATGTGTTATTTGGGGGGGGGTGGGAACAAAGGTCACAGAAAAAAAAAGCAGGGGAGATTGGCTGGAGTTCCTTTGCAAACTAGCTACTAGGCAATGCTGCTATAACCCTACGAAAGCAGCCAGCTGTGGTGTAAGACATACCTCATTAGTAGTTAGCTTGTCCTGGGGTGTCTGTGGGGACATGGTGGGTGTCGGCTGGCTGGAGGATGGGGAGGAGGAGGTGGAGGAAGTGGAGGAGGAATGGCTTTGCTGTAAGAGATCTGGCAAGAGGTGAATGCGCCCGGCAAAGCCATTGCTCTCATGATGGCTGGCACGCTTTTTGTCAACTGTACTCTGTAGAAAAAACAGGCACACTTGTCTTGCTCAAGTGCTGCTTAAAGGTCTATATCCCTAACAACCTCTCTCCTTCTCTCCCTCGCTCACTTCCTACCTTTTTACATTTATTTATTTATTTTAAAAGTAAGCTGATAATCCATGCCTTGATGCCTGGATGGAAAGCGAAAGTGGGCAGAGCTACTAGAATTCAGCAAATTCCCACCTCTTCTGGCAAGCAAAAGCTTAGTTCATGTGGTTGACTCGCACAGCCAGTTCCACTAATTAACAGAAGAGTAACTGCGCCGGTGAGTCTTCCACCACAACGCAGACAAGCACATTTATGGGGGTGACGGGAGGATTTCTTCCCCTATTGTTTTGTTTAAAGCTAACTTAAATCCTATACAGATACGAGCTTGGACTGTTTGGTGAATGCCTTCAGCTAACTATTTAAGACAATAAGCATGAAATCTTAATTTTCAAACCAGAGGGCTCAATTAAGAAATTGGCATTCAGTTGTAAAATTCAGAAATGCGATTACCGAGGAAACTCCTATAAGCTAGCACGCTCATTAACACACAAGCTCATTTAAAAGCAGGGAATCATTATCTTTCAGAGGCACAAGAATGCCTATATTTTCGGAATATTTTCAGAATCAAAAGGCAACAACACAGCACTCTAGCTCTGTCCACATTCTCTGCCTCGCCACCTATTTTGCTTCTCCATTCCCCACACTAACTATTGCATGTATTTGCATGTACATGTGTATGTGTGTATGTCATCTGGGTGGTCTGTATGCCCTCAGCTACAGGTTCAAAACAATTTAAAAACCAGCCCTGAACGCTTCCCCCCAGACCCACTCCTGAGCACCACATTTTGTTCTATGGCAAAACTAAACAAAGTTCTTGCTCCAGGTACTTGCTCCACACACCTGCAGCTTTTCTACCCTTCTCTCCCACAGACTTTGAGGTATGCTGCATGGTGCTGCCATGGGTGTCACTGGAAAGCATGCAAAACAGTAGCAAGGGGTGACGGACTACTCTCCTCTTTGCATGCACCAAACATCTTGCTCATCTGAAATTCACTACAGCTGTGTCTTGATAACACGAACAACAAATATAATGTAGAAACAGCATGGGTGAATGAGCGAGTGGGTTAATGAGCACAGAAAAGGTGCAGCACTGCACAGGGAAGGAAAAGCAATACCTGTCGGACAATTAAGGTGCCCTCCTTAGAAGGGGTCAAGGCAGGCTCACTCTCCACATCGTCATGGACAATCATGGTTTTCACTGATTCTGTTTCACCATTGCTCAAGTTCAATGTTGACCTATTTGCCAGACAAGAAATAACTGGAGTGAGATAACAGCATTTGCACCCTAGCTTTCGCTGCCCTGCACCAAGGCACACTCAAAATTAATTTGCATTGTGACTAGAGTGAAACATTTATATGATCTGCCTAGAAAGGCTCCTCTATTTTTTAAAAAAAGAAAAAAAAAAAAAAAGTCAGGAGTTTGTTAAACACCACTTCTTGTTTTATAACAAATCAAAGGGAGAAGAGAGAAAGGACATAATTTACAGAAGCCTACTTTTTGAAAAGATTACCCTCAGTGTTTGAAAAAGTGAACGTACAAGGCTGCTATGTCTTGCGCAAACATTGTTGTAAGCTGAAAGAACTAATATACAAGCCAAAATACCCAACGTCCTTTTCCTTCAGCCCAGCTAAGAGGGAAAACAGAAGCAAAACACAGAAGAACTAACACTGCTCGGACATCATCTGGTCCAGAAGTAGATTCGTCTGCTCCTTCTTGTTCCATGTCATCATCTTCCTCATCTGTCGTCCCTGACTCCTCACTTGAGGATGAATAATCCGTCACTTTATGTGGAGGTCGCACATCCTCTACTGCTCGCAATTCCTTTGCCAATGCAGTTAAATCCTGATAGGAGGGGAAGGAAAAAACTGATGTTGCAAGGAAGAGAGAAGATTTTGCAAGACAACCCCACTGGATTAGTGCCTGAGTTTGCTCACTTACCCACTGCTGTGTTTCCATAGCCCCAGCAGTATTGTTTCCTTTCATTTATTCACTCCTGGTAGTTACCAAAACTCACCTGATAAATTAAAGCACTGAAAGACTCAACCTAAGGAGGCCCCGCCGTATTATAGAAAAATGTGTACACTCTGAATCCAAACTGTCTTGATTATGACTTCAGTTTATCGCATTATACCATCTGAAGGACACATATAAGCACCCAGACCCACTCTCACACAGTGGTTGACTGTTGCAGTTCCTAAACTTTGCAGGTTAATAGCATCCACCACAAGAAATCTAGGCAGCAAGGTAGCAGAAAGATCCTAAGACTTATTGAGCCACCCAAGGCACAGTTGCAGAGACCTGATCTCCTTGAAACCTTCTGATCCATTTCCAATTGCATGGATCCATGCTAAGGAGTTCATCTGAGAAGTCAGATTCATTAGCACCAGCTCAGTCGCACACGACTGTCAAATAGTATGGGACATAAGCTCCTTTTCTGTCTGCAGCTTGGAGTGTGGGCAAACCACATTTGCAGTCAGTGCAACCTGCTCTCAATTGTGTAGCCATGCTTTATTTAGCTGCATACAGTTTATGGCAAATACTTCACACATTACACTATCAGAAGTGAAGGACCAACCTCTGTGTTTCTTTAAGGAAGCAGCTTTAACTGACAGATTTGGGTGCTAGTGCAGTATCATACTGGCAAGAGAAAAAAGTTTTAAGGAAAGATGGAAATACTGTGAAAACCCACTGTGATACCCCAGATGCAACTGGACATAGAGCTGTAATCAGCTGTAACAGCAGTCAGATAAAGAAAATGTCAGAAATCTTAGAAAACAGCAAGAATTTAAGGTCTTACCACTTCTCCCTGCACCATTCAGCCCAGCATTGGCATATTCAGGTCAAATGCATGATCATTGGTCCAGCCCCAGGAAGGAAGCACAGGATTGAAAGAGAGAAAGGCAAAGGTTAGGAAGGAAGAAGACCAGAGAGCAGAAATCAATTCCAGAAGCAGCGCAAATTCTAATGTTCAAAGTCCTGTGATGTATGCAGGCAATTGCAGAGCCCAGGACATGCTGCTGGGCCCACAGATACAAACTCCAACTCAAGCTTAAGTTCACCCCCAATGGCAACATGAATGGAAGCTCACACTGTACTTTTTGTGGGCCTACCTGAAAGAGAGAGGGGACAGGGGAAAGTGGATACAACTTACAGCAGGCTTGATAGGTCTGAAGACTTCCTTTTTCTCTTCAGGCTTTTTAGGTGCACTTTCATGACGCTGTGATGGCGAACCCTCTGATTTGGATGATGCTGCAGGTGTCAAGACCCCGAAAGGAACACAGAACAAAACAGATTTAGCAGGGAGCTAAAATGTGTTTTCTTACTTCACTTTGGAGTCGGGAAGAGAGGTGAGAAGGCTATCAGGCGTTGCCTGACAGCAAGACATAAGTTTCACTGGTTCACTATTACATTGTCCCTGAAGAGCTATACAAAAAAACCATCATAAGCTGTGATCTGTACAGGTGCAGCTGACCTATAACTGAAGCCAAACTAAACTGTCACACAGTTGTAAATCAAAGAGGGGAACTCAAGTGTGGCCACAAGCTGGAAAGCCTACACTAGCACCCAACATACCCCAGCTGAGACCTATCTGTAGCAGTCTGCACCCCTTCAGCAACCACCGATGTGATAGGCAACAAGCATCAAAAGGTGCCCTGGCACATAGGAGGAAGGGAGCTATGAGAGCATGGAGACTGGGCTGTTTGCACATGGGAAAATGCAGCAGTGACTGAACATGAATCAGAGAACATGGAAACACTTTCACAACAACTTCTGCACCCACTGTCTTTCCCAAAGCAAGGATGTACAGCCAAGGGGGGTACTGGAAGCTAACCCATCTTTGATACTGCATGCTCAAAGGTCTTTCCCAGTGAGGGTTATCATCCTTCATTATTGAGCGTTGCACAACTCAATAAATTTATAAACACGACGGCGGGGCAAGGACTTACATCTCATCCGGAACCGCCCTCCAGACCCACTTTGAGAGCCGGGGTGGGAGCCCGGCTGTGAGCCAGAGTTGCTTGAACCTGAAGAACTGCCACTGCCCGGTCTTGGTACGAGCTTTTCCACCCTTTCCCACAGCAGACGAGGCTCTATATTGCTGTATCAGGGGAGAGAGGAAAGTCTTTGTCAAGCACTTCAGTTTCAGATTCCTGTTTCTAAACGCAAACATCACTCTTCCTCAGTGTTCTGCTAATAACTCATCTGCTAATAACTCATCTGAAAGAGCACTTAACACTGAGCAGAGGGCATCAGTGATGCTTCACAACCCAAGCAGTGGCTCCCTTTGAAATACCTATTACCTTATTTAGGATGGTAAAAAAAAAAAAAACAACCAAAAAAAAACCAACCAAAAAAAAACTACCAAAACAGTTTATGTGGGTGTAAGCTATTCTTTTTATTTGGAACTGGCTACCTGCCACTCTTACGTACCTAATCTAAAGTGGACAGCTCTCCCAGCCTGCATGCAGCCAGTCTGAAATTGGCTCAGAATTGCCCTGGCCATGCAAGCACAAGCCAAAAAGCCAGCACTGCCTGTCCCTCTCAGAATACCCTCACCCTTCTCCAGCGAGCTAATTCTGGGGTGGTCTGTCCATGATGCTCTGCTGAGCTCTGGAGGCAGCTCCTTCCTCTCCCCTTTCCTGACCTCAGATGCTGTGTGTCACAGCTCATGGACACTTCTCCCCCTCTTAAAGTCTCGTTCTGGCTGAGAGGCCAGAAGTTTCTGAGATCTCTTCACTTCAGATGTTACAAACACTTCTGCTGCCAGTAATCCCCACAGTACACCCAAGATGACCTGTTGCACCAAAAGGCAAGATGTTCATGAATGGCCACATTTTTTCAGTAATCTTAAGGATATTTTGAAATTATTGCAAAAGTTACAGGGCAGGCAACTCAAAGCAGGAGAGGGAAGAAGAAATTTTGCCAGTGTTTGTTGGCACATGTGCTACACCAAGGGAAGTTAATATTAATCACTACTGAAAAGGGATCCAAATTCATCCTCCTTTCACATCCAGCAGACAATGCCAAAAGCACTCTGAAAACGCCTGGCTTCCCACAAGCCTTTTCCTTCCAATGCAAGAAAGGCGAGGACATGGAGGCTTACAAACCTCGTGGAGTTTCTTTGACCTGCTTGGTTATTTTGCTGCCCACTACCCTGCAGTGGAGAATCACGGCGGGACAGGACTGGTGATCGGGACGTTGTTCTCACAGGTACCTTGGGAGAAAAAAGGTTGTGTTAAACCCATGAAGAGGAGAGAGAGAAGAGGAAGATTAAACCTCTCCTGCTACAGAATATGTTCTTAAGATTGTAACAACACTTAATTCTAAGTCCAAGCTAGCATCAATGACCAAAAGCAATAAACAAACACCCACAAAACCAAGAGCCTTAGCTGGGACGCTGTTCAGATTCTGAAGAGAACTCAACATTTAGTCTCAACGTTAACTAGTGTTTAATAGTTACCACACAAACACATACACACCCCGCTACACTCCAACTACTGAGACATTTAAAAAGAATATGGCATTTTGACTGAAGCAGGGGAGGCACAAAGCAATTTGCTGAAACAGCATGAGAATTAGGAGAATAAGCTCAGGGGAACCAAACAAATGCCCGGGAATGGATCAGCAGAAGGCAAAGACTGGTGGGGGAGCAAGAATATACTCAGAAGAAGCAAATCCCAGTGGATGGGAGTCGGGGGGTGGGAGCGGGGAAGGAGGAGGAAGTATATTGAATGTTTCCTTTTTGTTCAGTTCCATCTCAATTTTAAATAAAATGTGTATGATTCATAGTTTGGGTTGCTAACAGATGAAGAGGAAAATTAACTCTGAGCAATAACCTCAGGGATATTTTAAATTCTTTCCTGAATACGGTAACAATTTGTTAGCTTTGCATAATAAATTGTCTCTCTGAAATAGCTGCATTCTATAAATAATTGCCAATTTTATATGAAGCTTCAATATTGTACTTAAGGTTCATTATCATTAACCCATTGACTAAACACCTACGTTATGATCTGCCTTCTAAAATACTGTTACCAATGCTGGCACAAGGGCACGGTCTTCCCAGTGCCCAGGGTATCACATCCTTAAAAAAATAATAATTAATAATAATAAAAAAAAAATAGCACACATCTGTCTTTCTACTCCTTACCCTTGGAGGCACCTCGTCACTGTCTGATCTAGCCCAAGCCTTTTGGGTGGGGTCGGGTACCTCCGACTTAGAGTCAGAACTCTGATTTAGCACTTCACTGCGTGAAGGTGGATATGGGTCCTGGGAACGAAGATGGTGATGAGCAAATTTGGGAGAAGGGTCACTGAAGGAATGGGATCGCGAGACAGGGGAAACATTGTTCTTGAGAGATGCCAGATGGGACCACTGTACCTTACAAGAAAACAAAACATAAAACATTCAATGCGCTCAGTATAACTGGCTTTCCAATTAACACAGAATAAAGGCAGGTGGGGCGGGCAGAGACAAATTGGTTACGGCATTAGGTAAGCGTGGGGTGGAATCAATGCACTTAAAAGCAAGGCAAGCGCCCAAAGAACGTAACAGACTGAAAATATAGCACATATGCATTTTTTGTGAGATACACTCTCCACATACACATACACTGGTGCCCAGAAGAAAAAGGGACCTAATATCTGCACTGTGAGCCTGAGTCCAAAGGCTACGCAAGACAGAAGTCGCCTTCTGTGCCCCAGTCTTCAGCAGGCTTTGGTCAGGTCTCATGGCAGCAGTGGTGGGTTGGGAAATTTGAAGCAGATATCCAATTGAAGAAACGTACAAAATTAAAGAATGCTGTGAATTGTGCAAACCGACAGACATTTATGTTACTTAATAAATTTAGGAACTAGATACAGTTCCACACTTTTAGAGAAAGACCATAACACAAAAGCCTTTATTCCTTTACAGTCATTGCAACATATATAAAAAAACCCATAATATATATTGTATATACTATACATATGTACAATGCATATTATACTTACACCATATATGTACCATATACTGTACATATATACATATTTATACACAAACTAAGCACACACGTACACACACACATATTCAATTACACATACTAAGGCAGCACAACAGTGACTCCAGAGTTAAAACTGCATTGGGATTTCCATTGAAATCCATATTGACCCTTCAGCCTACTCCCTCCTTGCGCATAAACCTGCGTTTTGGAGTGAACTTCTGAAGCTAAGGAGGAGAAAAAGTCATAACTGAGGAATACACTGTTTTCACACCTAATAATTAAGCAAAACTTTGCTTTCAACCCCAGTTTCAGTAGGCTGGTTGTTATTTGGTTTTATATGATTATTATTTTCTCAATTTTAATACACACAGCTGTTGAAGAGCCTGATTATCCTTAATATGAGTGGAAGACCCAGACTTTAAAAGTAACTGGCACAGAGAGCATGAAGATACAAGTCCAATATTTGAAATAGTCATAGAGGTTTGAATAAAAGCCAGGAATTAATGAGTAAGAGATGAAGTTCTGTCTTGATTTCTCCCACTCTCCCGTCTGTTCAAATTCTCCCGTTGCCCAAAAAAGCTGCAGTATCTAGTCACAATCAGGGATGGTTTTAGCTTGCACTGTCATCAACAGACTTAATTTGGGAGAAAAAAATTCTGCATGGAACCAGAGGAACTGAATGCAGAACTATACTGTTTAATTTAGCATACCTAAATTGCTCAGAATGTATGTGCTATGTCTAAGTTTTAGACAAAGGTTAATTTTTAAATTCATGCTGTAATTCCAATGAGATACAGATACCAAGATCTGGAGGCTCTTCATTAGAAAACAACAGAATGATGGCAGCCACACAGCTCAATGGTTTCAACCTCTTTTTGATTTTTCCAGGGGTGGTACAGAGCTCTATTTAGCAACTGTAAGCCTACTGACAACAGACTGGCTTTTCTTAGTCATGTTTCGTAAATCTCTTTGAAGCAGTGCTCATACTATTAAAAACCACTTGTTTAGTTAGCTCTTTCTACAAGAATTTAGAAAAACAAGCAAGCTCACTTCTTTCTTGAGCATCCTTTTTGGTAGTAAACACCTTGCACAGATCAAATTCTGAGTTATAAAAGCGCACTGCAACTGTCATCAGCGTTTAGCCCACCATTCCAGTGTTGCACAGATAGTAACGGAATACAATAATTCTAATCTAGCTCTAATATTTTAAAAAAAACCCAAACCAAACCAACACCAAAACCACAAATCCATTAGTTTATCACAAAATAAGCAAAAATAGACAAAGCAAATCTACTGAACAAGCTGCTTTGTGTAACAGTGCTACCATTTACATAAGACTTTCTAAGGGCGAAGATCTGAAAATTTGAAGGAAACATGTTGGGACTTCTGAATCTCCCCCAGGCTCACCAAGATTCTCCTAGGCACTTACCTGGGGCTCCATCGGCCTCTGCAGGGCAGGCTGAGCAGGTTCTGAGTTTCCATTGGAAAAGGACTCTGATCTTGAAGGCACTGGTGGCTCCAACACTTTGCCCATCTGCTTAGACTGTGCTTCAGGGGAGCCCTGATTAGTTTTTCTAAATCTCTCCTCCACCTAAGCCAAAATGAATGGAGGTTAAGCCTGGAGTCAATAAAACCAATTACAGTAGAAATATGAAAGCGAGTACCACCTTTCCTTTACCATAAAGAAACCAAATACATTTAGGGCGTGGCAGGATTTTTTTCCTACCACATTCACCAACACTGTAAAACACAGAGTTAACTACACCAAAGTGGCAAGTATGCCAATATGGAAAATCCATATTAGGAAGAGAGGATATAGCAGACAGTTGGATGTGATGTGACGAAAGACTATTAGGGGCTTCTTTCTGCCTAGACTAGTTACTATCCATCTGTATTTTCCTCACAGACAATAAAAAGTATATATGAAAGCAGAAACAACTTTACAATATAAAAGTACATTTCCCATTGCTATCCCTTACTGTATATACCCACCTTACTCAGCCAATATTATTTGATTATCTGCTTTCCTGTGCTTGTCTCTTTGGTGATGCAAGAAGAGATAGGATATGCTTCTCTAACTGGTAATACTGTTCGGCTTTAGGTACGAAATTGTAGGACTGGTCATCATCTCTTTTATCAGATAGTCCCAACATGACCTCACAGGCTGCAGAGAACAGCCCCAGCAGCTTGTTTCTGGTTCTCAGGGAGGTGCAGAAGTGATTGTACACTAACCTCAAGAGCCTGTTGAGGGGAGGACTAAGTCAGAAAGTGCTCAGTCCTCAAAAGAATATCAAGTGACGTCCCCATGCAGAAATGTCTCCTCTTCCAAGGCTGCAGCATTGTGAAAAAAGCAAGGGGTACAAAGGACAAGAGATGGAGGGAGGCTCCAGGCAGAAAGGAAATATCGTCCCATTTCCTAAGATGGTCTGTTGCTGGAATCAGGGCAGTGTGTGTGTTTCTGCCAGGGAGCTGCCACTGAGGAACGCTAAACTCCCAGCACTTTATCAAAGCGTCAAAGAACGATCAAACCGGCAGCTTGGGATGATTTCATTTGTTGAGATTCTGCTCACAAGATTTGCTTTAACCCTTGCACCTGGAGCACAAAACCAGTATTGGGGTGGTCTGCTAATTGCTCCCTAGCAGTGATGGTCTGGAGAGACTGGCTGTTCATATACTTATGTCAGAAGACAGAGGCAAGTCTCCAGGACTCCTCAGCTGGGGTGCTTTACAAACCCAACCTGCCTCTGCTTTCCAAAATTTGAGGACAGTAAGAGTTTGCCTATGGGAACAAGCAGACGAGCTTCTGCCAGGTCTACACAAAATACACCATGTCTTGGGAAATACAACAATGACGGAGGCAAACATCTTCACCATACAATCATTTTCACCACCGTGTTCAACTTCACAGAGCCATCCTTTATAGTTTAAAAACCAGGACAGACTCCTTGTTATGAATAGAACAAGGAAAAGCCTGAAGTCTTTCTGTCTGAAGGAACAGGCTTTCATGTCTCTAGCTGTAGATGATAGGAGGTTTCCTCCACAAAGCACACAAACTGCATGAGCCATGTGTCCTTAAAACCAGGGAAGAGGTGGGAAGGAGATAGCCAGTGCATCCCTGGACAGAAACAGGCCCTGTTCCAGTCATCTGACTGTCTGGACCAGAAAACAGTATTAAGCCTCATTTCTTGCTCTAATCTCCCCCCTGTTTCCCAGAGCCAATCTTAGAAGCCCTTTTCGTTACATTGTCATTGCCACTGGAATGGGGAAAACCCCCTTCATCCCCCAGTAGACTTAGCCAGAACAGGAAAGGTAGCCCACTTTAGCTTATCATCTTGACGGTCAGCATTTCCGTAGATGGAGACTTTCTCTGGAGAGCAGTATGAGGCACAGAATCCCCGCTCTCCAACTCCAATGTCAAGAATGACATCAGAGTTAATGCCTGCTTTTAAGATTAACTGGCATTGCTCCCACTGCCAGGCACCAAGATACATACCATGGCTATACTTCTACCACACATGCGCAGCAATCTCTGGGAAGATCTGACTACTAACACAATCTTTCTGTGCCTTCACTTTACTCCTTCTAGCTAGAGCAATCACAAAAGAAAAAGACCACGACAGAAAAATAGCCGAGTCAGTCGTTCTGCTAAAGAATATAACGCTTTGAATCTTCAGGAGTTTCTCTCCTTTGCAACTCTGAAAGGAAAACAGGAGACGTGGAACAGAGACAGCTGTGCATCCTTCCAAAGGCAGCCTTAAGGTGGGACAGTGCTGAATTGGCACTGTGCTTTCATGGAGGCAGGTCAGGAACAAGAACAGGAGGGCTAGTTCCATGCCTGCATCATCACATACCAGACAAGTCTGAACGTCTTCCAGGAGAGAGTAATGTACCAGGTACTTCAACCATCAAGAGGAATGGATGAGATAGCACAAACATGGTTTATTTAGAGCTTGGACAATAGCATCTACAAGAAAATGAGTTTGTGCTCACCAGCCCAAACAGCAATACTTCAAAGGCAACGAAGTGCTACTGGATGAAGGTGGACTGAAAGCTATTTTATCACGTTCAACAGCCCCAAGAATTTTTTTGTTCTTGTTCCAGAATGTATTTACCTAGTTCCCACATGCTGGTGATGAATGCCATTAAGAGCTTTGACCAGTATTGCCCAGTCTAGTGGTTTGTGGGCAGTATGGTGCTCAAGGGAAACATAAGAATAAGAGCGCTGAAAGGCAGGCAGGTATGCATCAAAGAGGCAATTACTTGCTCAGCAATGTTACCCGTGGACCAGTGAAGACAGGGGACCACTCACTGAAACAAACAGCACTCTGATGATTTCAGATCGACAGGTGAGTGCCAGAAGTCCAAGAAGGCAGCACCATAGCATTTCGTAAGAGCAGGATGTGATCTCAGAAGAGAATACTTAACACTTCAAAAATGAAACTAATGAAATTCAGGTTTGTGTACGAGAAGAGTATTTCCAAGAGCATGGTCTAAAGCACCAAACGTGTAAGCAGGTACTGTGTGCAAGCACCCCTCATAGGTTCGTGCTTTCCAGTTGCCTCCCAATTTCCAACCGCCAGTACTTCCCAGAGACACAGATCACCAACTGCACCAATGCTTCCTATGAAAACACGTCTGACGAAGTGCAGATGAGATTAACTTCCTGACATGATGCTTCCAAAATCAGGTCCCCTCAGTCTGCAGCATTCCAGAATTTCTTTCCACCATTTATATGTCAAAACTCTGAACTCCAATGATTGCAGCAGAAGTACTCAGAAGTATCCCTCGGGTTTGGAAACCAGCAGCCAACTTTTTAAAACATCCCGCCCCTTACAAGTGATGCTTTGGCCTCCGACTGTACTACAGCAGAATCACAGTCACGATGATGCCAACAGGCAGGGGCAGAGAGGCAGGTAGCAGATTGCTGCCCGCAACCAAGACTTACCTCACGCGCTCTTTCAGCAGGCTCATAGTGGGATTTTGGCTCAGGGGTATGATAGCTTTGTTTATTTCTTTCTTGCTGCTGCTGCTGCTGCTGCTGCTGCTGCTGCTGCTGCTTGTGAAATGCTGCAGCGCCAGGAGGTAGGCTTGCTCCTGCTGCAACTGGCGCTGGAGTCGCTCCGCCTGTCGGTGTTCCTCCATCTCTCGCCATCTGTATTCCTTTGAGAGAACGCGTGAGTAATTCAAGACATGACATTAACTGTATGGTGGATGTGTCCCTATCCATCCCATTAAAAATGCACCTTTCTGGTTGTTGTTGCCTTTTTTTTTGTTTTGTTTATTTCATTGTTAAAGTGTAACCAAGAGCTAAGTGAGACCAATATGGTGTGTGTCTCGTGTTGGGAAAGTTGAGAGTGTACTGTTAAGCTTGACATGATTGGAGAGTTATGGCAAAACTGATTTTTATTAAAGGAAAAAAAAAAAAGTGTTATTTATACTAAATCCAGTGTAAAGTTCATAAAACAATGATTTAGACCAACACTAGGCCATTGTATCCCAGGGTGGATTTACATATCATGTGTGCTTTTGATCTGCAACATAAGCACTCTAGTTCTTCACTGAATGCCAAGGTCTGTTCAGAAACTCGACCGCCACACCAGAACTGTTCCACTTTAACATAAAGCCTCCTCTTACTGCCCAGAAAGCAGTGTGACCATACAGCACTTCTCATATGTGCCTGTCAGCCCACGACGCTAGCATAAATGGCCTTTTAATCAAGCTCCTTTGTTGTCATACTGTCAGTGCAGCTGTGCCCGACTGAGGGAAGCCTAGGACTGGCCGGATAAATGGATCCTATAGCTACTGAACAAAACAGATACAGTGCTTTACCAGTAACATGGCCTGCTCCTGGAGCAGCTGCTGCTGTAGAATTTCCAAGTGCCGCTGCTCCTCTTCTAGCTGTCGCCTGATATACTCCTGTCACATAGAAATTACCCAGCAATAAATTTATTCAAAAGGAATGCATCAGAACCCCCTGGGTGGAACACCACACGCTACTTCCCCAGTTCAGCTTTAATGAGAAACGCACTTCAGGATGGATTAGTGCCTGCAGAACAATTTAGGAAGCCCTGCCTCCTGAGCATCGGATTTTGGCCCCTTCCATTCTGAAATTTGGACTCCTGCAAATGTTGCCAGCACGGGCCAGAGCTCATTTATGTATTTTGGAAGTGGTTTCAAGAAGCAGCAAAATGCACTTGAAGGTTTTGGAAAGTTAAAACACAGCAAGTCTGACTCAACATAGCCAACACAAAGTCACATGCAAGTTGTATTAAACATTAGTTTGTTGCACTGGTGCGATGAACTGTTAGCAACAGCTAGAGCCAGGCTTAGTGTAGGCAGACCTGGAGCAAGCTCCCCCAGAGGGACTCTGCCAAGTGCAGTTGGGACCTGCCCTGCTGTCTCCCCTGCCGCCCTCACCAGAAGCTTCTCCTGAGCAGATGCTGCCAGCCTTGCTGAATTATGCGATGGTTATGACACAAACAAACATCCACCAGGAAACAGGTATTAGACCAAACTCGCTTGCTCTTGCGATCTAGCCATCTCTTCACCTGCAGCCTCAAAAGGTTGAGAGGTTTACCCGCTGCTTCACCTGACCCCCTAGAAGAACTCAAACTCTGAAGCACCAAACCCAAGCTGGTAACATCCTATCATGCAATTAATGGAAGTATGTAACATGTGCATGCGCACACACACAAGCACACGCACACATTTACAGTGTATGCATAAAGAAATTAATGGATCAGTGATACAGTGATGGGAGCTATAGGAAGTCTTGTGACAGACTGATGAGGTACACTATACTGCTGTTACGCACATTGGCTGAGCCATAGTTTGGGTTAACAAAAATTCTAAGAGGGGGCATGTCTTTTCTTCTAAAAAAAAAAGAAAAAAAAAAATTCAGAGTGGTTCAGCTTGGCCACATCAATTAACCATTTGTCATTATCGGCACTGTGCGTAATTAGCATTTCAACAGTTTAAAAAGCAGCTGGGGGAATACCCGGTGTCTGCCCAAAAGCAAATTGCTGTGCTGTATGTAATTAGAGATTTTCCATATATATTTATTCCCAGTGGTTAGTCTTCTCTCCTTTTGACTCAAAAATCTTTGAAATTTATACAAACACAGTAAAATTCCCCAGTAACACAATCATCAATGATCTCAAATACAGTGACTTTATGTAAGAAAAAGTTAAGGTATATCAGGCCAAAACTAGCATTCCTGAAGTTAATGGGAAATTTACAATCAGCCTCTAGGACAGTAGTTTTGGCCCTTTATTTGGTACCAGTATTTTGCAGTACATGCACAGTAATTACTACCCTGATTATCACCCTGATTAAAGTTTTTAAAGGATTTTAAAACATGCAGATTTCATGCATAAATACAGCAGCTGAATTTCACAGTTTAAAAGGTTTCTCACCTGTACTTTTCAATGTATTAAGGGCACACTGACGCAACTTAAGATATACTTGCTGCCTGAACTGGCATACATTATTAGAGCTGATTTTAAATAGACAGAGTAAGAGAGAGAGATTGCATATTTAAGTTTTAGGAAGGAAAACCCTCTGCAGCTCAAAGGTTCCATCTCAATTTCAGAATATTCAAAGTTTATGACGAGCCTCTGACCAATTCCGGGTGCCAGAAGCTGACACACAACAGAGCTGCCCTTCCCTGGGAGGCCTTCTGAACAGGGGCATGTCCTGCAAGAACCTCTGATCAGCAAGACAAGTCTAGAAACAATTTTCAGCCCCAGTGATGATTTCACCAATTCTGATGGATTTTAGTCAAGCCCAGGGGCACGAGCTGAATTTAGAATGAGTACCACAACAAGACTGCTTTTTTTGAGGGAATATTGAGGCTGCCAGAATTTTCCATAAAGTCCTATGATCCATGTTAGTGCGTTTGCTGTCAGAGACAACAAAGATGAAAGGATCAGCATTAGGTTGCCTCTAAGCTGCTTTAGGCTTACTAATTTTTAAAAAACTAAATTAGAATTTAGAAGAAACAAACTTATTGCGCATGTATCTGTATCATGGACTCACCTGCTCCCTTTCTACCCTCCTCTTTTCTTCCTCTGCTCTTCTTCTCTCTTCCTCTTCCTTACGCCTCCTCTCCATTTCTTCCAGACGTCTCTTTTCTTCCTGTTCTCTCCGCCTTTGCTCACGCTCTTGTTGCCTTCGAGCTTCCCGTTCTCTTCTTTGTTGCTACAAAAAGGGAAAAGAAACCACAAAGTTTTACTTTTGTTGTTATCAAAGAAAGAGGTGGGGTTGTTTTCTGCTGTGAGGAGAGGGATTTACCAGGACTGGCAAGCTCTGCAACTGAGTGACAAAACATTTTATGCAAGTGTTCCACCAGGAAACTAACTCATACCCAGCACACAACTATCCCTAAAAGCAGCTTTGCTTACTCTCTCTGGTTTCTTCACACACAAACACAAAGTCATGTCCCGTATTTCTGACAACCAAGGTGTGGAAGCTCACTGCTGCTCTTCAAGAGAGGCTCACACCGGAATCTCAATCTTTCCACAACTGCTGAACTCAAATCTTAATCAAAATGACAATTTTCTTGACTTCAACACATTATCTAAATGTTGCTAGAAGGGAATTATCAGCCCCACTGAATGAGCTAAAACTCAAATGACAACTATCTGAGCTTTCAGTAAGTAGCTTCTCTCTTAACACAATTCATGGTCTGCCGAGAATTTGGTGGTGTTGGCCCAACAACCAAGCTTGATTTAATGCACTGCCCAAAACTTTGCTTAAGAGAGAAGGAAGGCTGACCAACAGCACCTCAGCCCCTCCCAGAACATCAAAAGCACCTATATGTAAAAGAGGAAAAACAGCTGAGCGCAGCTTTTACACTTACACAGATAAGCTTTCACACATGACCCAAATACCAACTGGTGCTGTTAAGTCTGCTCAAGTCTGAAAAGCACCTGGAAAACAGCTCTAGAAAGCATGAACTGACTCATTTATGTCTATAGAACACCACATGTGACTTCAGAGGAGACATTTTAAATGCCCATATAGTCGTGACCAACTCTTCCTGCACTTCTACAGAAGCATCCAGTTACTCCACCTACCTCGAAATCCCAGGCAGCCTCCCACAACTGCCTAAGTGTCAAAAGACCCAGCTGTCTCCTGTTCAACCATCAGCTGGGAATATCTCTAACAACATTTACTTCCATTACAGATTTCTATAATAGGCTAAAAAATTATAGAAGAAATATAAACAAAAAAAAAGCACACTCAAATTTAATCCCAAGAACAAAATGGAAACCGACATTGGTTATTCCTTTTCACATTTAGGTTAAGGTTAATACTATCGTCAGTTTCTGTTGAAGCAAAGCTGCCACAGATTTGGCCAGTCTTAAGGCACTCCGAGTAGTCTTGCAAGAGCACTCAAACTAATCTTTTATTTGGGTTCACAAATCCAGTTACTGGTGTGCGTTTCACAGTTGTGCTCAAGTGAACAAGCAAAGGACAATCTGCACTCCCTGCGTTACTTCATGGGATGAACATGACTACAAAGCAGTTGAAAGCTCAACAGCCTTTTCCATCTTCTGGAATCGATACTGACATGGCAGTGGAGAAGAAACATTGGGGGAAAAAAGATGGTTAATAATTAGTAGTACTTAAAGAAAACAGACTGCTTTCCGACTCTCTTTAACTAGCTGCAGTTTTGGGGAAGATGCAACGTTCTTGACAACCACTGCTCAAATACATCCACTCTGTAACTATGACATCTTCCTTCCTGGCCCACAGCGTCATCCTGGGTTCACTACCACCTTCCTGTGCCATAAGACATAAGCTCTTTTCTCCCCCCCCATATTCTGTATCTTCTCAGAAACACAGCTTCCTTGCTCTTGCATCTCCTCTCCTAACTAAATGCATCTACCAGCCTTTTCCCTCTTGCTTCAGCAAGCTCTCTTCAATGAATGTAGATACAAAAATAACAAAAGTGCTGCAAGGCAGCTACGGCACACGGTGCATTTCATAGCTTTCACTGCTCTCCCTCCTTCATTTTTTCAGCACTGTAAAAGGATTAAGTAGGCACTTTTATTCCTGAATATACACATCTGTGTCAAACAATTTCTATATTTAAGTCAATATATTCAGGTGCCTCTTGGCCAATCAAGTCTGACAGGCTCTTTGTTTAAGAAAACTAAGATGTGAAACACAGTAATTCTGTTGCCCTGAGGATGCAAGAGACAGCACACTGCTGACTGGTTAATATGCGCATTTATCAACTCAAACACTTCTTAAACATATGAAGCCTGTCTGTCTAACTATAGTGTGTTGACATTGTTAAGTGGATATATTGCAGATCTTGGGATGGCATCATTCTCACTACAAGGAAGATGGACAGAGCCTAGGTCTTTCAGATGAAACCAATTCATCGCTTCTTGAATCAATGGAGAAGTATTCAGCCATAATTATAAATAACTGAACTTAATATGAGAAAAATAAGTTCCAAATTGACTATGAGAGCTGATTTTCCAAGGCATCATGAAATAAACAGAATCAGCTGTTAAAAGACAGCCAGATTGCTAGCTCAGCGCTGATAGTAGATATTTATTACCCAGCAAAAGAAGGAAAAAAAAAGAAAAAGGATTCTCTGCCATCAGGGTACGTTTAAGTCAAATCTCCCAAAGCACAAATGTGCTACTGTCTGTACACCAAAGTACAGAGAGAGATGGGGTTTCTCAGCATCACTTGTGCCTTCCCGTCAGACGCCTCAGCTCCTCGCCAGGTGGGTGGGAAGGGAGGCACCCGGCACTGCAAGAGCCTGCAGAAACACCCCAGACAATCCGCTTATTCCCAGCCCTAGCTGTAAGAGAAAGGTTTCACTTCCTTTGCACATGGCCTTTGAAACCTGAGCATCAAAGTGCTGCCCACTGACAAAGTGGAATTTAGTTTTAACAAGCCCAGGGAAAGGAAACCTACAGTGACAAGCATCTCTCAGGTCCTAGTCTACATCTTGGCAAAGTGATGGCAAAGCTGGTCAGTGGCAAGTCGTCGTTGACCCAAGCTGGCTTCAGAATTAGCCCTTTAGCTGACTTCCTACCATCCTTCTGTCGGCACAAGGTCACCTTCCTGACTGCCTCCAGCAACTCTTCCATGAGGACACACTAAGACCCTGGTCACCATGTTCTGTTTTGAAAACTTCAACTTCTGAATTTAATAAGTCTGATTGTCAGATATTGTAATTCTTACCACACACTGCAAAAAAGGTCTGATGTAATAACACGGTTCCTGTACATGCCCAATAGATAGCAGATACAGATCTGTATTCCCTGAAATTATGGATGCATATCCAGATCTTTATTTGGATATGGTATTACCAACTTTCTTGCACATGTCAGATGAAAAGCTTATTTTCAAGGAGCTAAATGTTAACCAGAAGGTAAGGGCAGCAACTCTTCAAAGAAATTTCAGAGATGCCAAAACAGAATTTTGATAGAGCCCATATTGCCTCAAATTTCTGCATTTCACAAAATTGGCATTTACTATGCCAACAACAAAAAACCCAAACAGAACATACAGTGTCAATACTCTGTCTCCTTGTCCAGTTTTAAGGTGCATTAATGATGATCTCGTAATGGTACCCAACATCTCCAAACTGGAAGACCATGCAGTAGAGCATGACTGACCAGGAGGGGGCAATGCAACTACACATGCAGTTGGTGTATACCAACGAATTCAGGACCTCCTTCATACAGTGAAATGCTGAAGATAGATCCTCTAATTTTATATTCATAAAATATTATTACTGTCTTATATTCAGATGAAGGTTGATAAATACATACATTAATGATTTCTTTCGCAAAGAATTAGGTAGCCTGTTACCAACTTAGGAAGAGGATTGGAAAGATTAATAGAGACTTTTGGTTTGCCCGCACTAGAGATAAAGCAGAAGTAGAACTTCTTACTCAGTACCAATCCAAACTACAACAATTCAAATTAAGTAGATACGAATAATCTCCCCTTCCGTAAAAGAAACAAAGCCCTGGCAAAAATCACCTGCAGGTACACCTACATTAGCATCTTGGTTCAGATCAGTAGTGCTCTTTTGAAGTGAATCATCCAATCATCTCCACTTACCAGGTTTTGTTTCGTATTTTGAAGATGTCTTGGAGTGCCAACCACTCCTTTTGGATGAAATTAAAAAGGCAGATGCACTCCAACCACAAGCAGGCACGCAGTCTAGACCTCAGCTAATCCAAAGAAATTCCTCCTGTCTTCAAACATATGGAGTGAAGTCTTTGGGTCCTCAGCACTTTAATTATTGTGCTCCACAAATCTGCTTCTACTGGACTGTACTACTTGCCAACGGAGCTATAACATACCACTTCAAAAATATCCATCTTAGTTTCTCATAACCAGGGATAGAGACATCATTTAATTAAGTTATCCTGAACTGTGGAGGTCCACGCAGAATGGGATTCCACCATGGCTAATTCTGAATTTCCCAAACCAGAGTCAGTTTTGCAAAGTTTTGAAATTTGAAATTGAAATTTGAAAATACAAATGCAAATGCCTTTCCATACCCATCACACTGAGCACTGGTGTCTCCACGCTGCTGAACAGAAACATAGACCCATGTCAGAACAGCCTAGAACAGCTAGGCTTTCTTGTTTTAACCATCTAAACACTTACATGACATATAGCTGTATTTATGCAACTATCTTTATACGATTTTTTAAAGGGGGGGGGACGGGACAGGATGAAGGGAGGGATGACACACGACACAAGTAATCCCCTCCCCAAAATGTTTCAGATAATTATCTGCACTTTGACCACATATAATTTTCACCTCCTAAGTAATACACAAATTATAAGGTTCCTGCAACAATAAGTTTTAGAAGTCACCTATATGCCTTTTAAAAAGTAATCTTTTCTCTAATACTGCTGAGAATTACAGTTTTTGGCAGATGTCCTGAACACCGTTCCTGTTGCAGTCTCGGTCAAAACTGTCTAGGCTCTGTGCCAGTATTGTAAGAACATGCCCTCAATTTTCATTTAGGAAGCTGGGGAGGGGAGGAGCAGGGGGAAGTATAAGCAACTTGTCCAGGGAGATTATCTAATGCATAAAATTCCTCACAAAGAATGTCAAACAGGTATACCCAAACACACACTTACTCTACCCAAGGAAAAATTACAAGAAAGCAAGGCTTGGTAAAAATGTCAACAAACTGGTGGAAGCCCACGGATTCAATGCCTGACATTAATCTTAACTCACATTACCAAGTTTTTCATTGTTTACTGGCTTCATCAAAACAGGGGGGTGAGTTAAGGACAAAGCGACAGCATTTCAATATTTTGGCCTTCAATTGTGTCACAACACTGATGTTTATCTAAATATGTGTCTACCACCCTTCCCCCATCTTAAAGAGCTTGTTTTCGCTGTTTGTTAAAAATCACTTGGGATCACAGAATTTTCCAACACAAGATCCAACAAACTAAGTGGGGTTTTTTTTGAAAACTCAGTGTGAGCCCTTTTCTTAATTTACTTTAAGAACAATACGCCTGCCCCATCACCTGCAAAAGGAACCCTTCATAGCTCGTAATTCGTATTCATGTTTCTAAGGGAACCAGGCTGAGGTTACAGAGTCAATAAAAGGTAAAAGCTTTTCTCTTACAAACTTTACATGGTTTACTGTGTAACCTTATTCAGTAATACATCAACCTACGTTACATGCTGTCTTGTGGTTGCTAAAGTTGTTAGTTCTGTTTTGTATTTGAAAAAGCAGGACTGATTAAACATAACTTTCAGGTAACTGCCTTTTCTTTTTAATTGCTCATTAAATTATGATTCCTGCAACATCCCCAAAAAGTTCAACCCTGTGCAGGTAAGAGGTGCATTGCTTTTGCTTCTATTACTAGCAGCAGCAACTCCTTTATTTTAAAAAGAAATTCCAGATTTTAAAGGTTGCACTGATTACTAAAGTTAAATGACCTAGATAATTTAATCGTAACCCCCTTTCTTGCCAAAAAAGTACCGCCTGCAGAACCTTAGAGATTAAAGAGCATTTAAAAGAGCTCATTGACTACCATACCAAGAAAAATTTTAGAGGCTAAGCAGTCAACTTTTGCCCACCTTTGACAATATCAATAAAGTATTTTGTTTTCATATTTTCCTAGCCTCTTTTTATTATGTGCTTCCCCCACAAAATCGCTACAGAGCCAGAGTCTAAAAACAGTTGGAAGAGCTACGATGTTTATATTGGCGATCTCAGAAGGGTGGGGAAGAAACAGAAGAGAAATGGAGTTTATATGCCTCCCCCGTGTCCCTCCTCCTGGCTTCACGTGTGGCTGAGTCTTTGCTACCAATCCCTCCTTTACAGCAGCACTAAACTCACTTGCACATTGAAAAAGAGGGATAAGGAGCATAATGTGACCTGGAAAGCTATTTGGAATTTTGTAAACACGTCACAGAATGCAAATCAACATTTGGTTCTGGTTGCATCCTCATTAAACAGTACCAGGATTTGGAAAACCAGACTGGGTGTAGTTTTTCCATCATTGCTAAGTGAACATTTGAAACAGCAACTCAAGCAAGAGGTCATTTAAGGACAACTGGAATTTGACCCTGCACTTCCTGAGGAGCCAGAGAATTGGTTTCACTTCAGCTCGGTGTCATACCCAGCTCTGTCCTGAAGAACTGTTTTGAAATTCTCCTACCTCTGAAGCTCACACTGCATATTCCATCTACATATACATAAACACACACAAGATCCTAGGAGGTGAAAAGTATGACAGAACAATATTGTACATGTACATAATTTTCTTTTATCTTTGGGTAGTGTATGCAAATTGCATACTTACCATATCACAAAAGTATGATTTACATATTTGTAATTTTTGCAGAATTATAATTTTAACACTGATTTATAAATCATATTTATAAATCTAAGTGGTTTTTAGTCATCATGCTACTATGCATGAGAGAGTAATACATAAAAAAATAGGCTTCTACCTACCATGAATGAGTGCCAAACAGAGATGTTTGAGAAAGCTTTAAAGGGAAATCTGAAGCATGTCATGGCCCCAAAAAAGTAATCTTGAGAAAAAAAATCCATCTGGGAATAATTAATGTCTCCCTTTCTTTACAGCTACCTAAAGTCTAGACATGTTGCTTCGTCTTTGGAACAGAGACCAAGACACAGCCTCCCCCCAAATACCTTCAAACAACCCAGCTTTCGCTCCTGTGGCCTCCATAGGAGCTGCTGGATATTCAAATGCTTTGGAAGATGGCTCATATTCAAGTAGCCAGACATGGATTTAAGTGCTTTGCTCTACGTTTGCCAGTGGATTTGCACATGTTGTTTTCTTTCCTGAGGTGTGCTGGGGCTACAGGGAACTCTTTTTAAATGGGCACGGGAATGGGAAATGCAAGCAGAAGAGGGTATTTTTTGCCCCCCAGGCTCCAGCCTCCTGTCTCTACCTCTTCTAGCCGCCTCCTTTGCTCCTTCTGCTGCTCAATGCGCTTCTGCCTCTCTGCCAGCAGCTGCCTCTTGTACTCCTCCTGCTCACGGAGCTGCTGCTCCTGCAGCAGTTGCTGTCTCCGAAGGGCCTCGGACCGTTCCTTGTTTTCCTGCTGTAGTCTCAGGAAATCACGTCGGAGAGTTGATTCTCCAGGCACATTGACAATGGAACTGCAACAAGAGGAAGTTAAAGCCTCCTGTACAATAAAGCCTTGATGGGCCATTAAATACCTTTCCCAAAGCTGGGGAACATTAATAAAATATAGCATGATGTTAAATTTTCATCTTGTTTCTTTCGGAGCGAAGACACTGGATGCATGTCAAATACTCGCTCTCAGTGGAAGGCGCGAAATGAGGCCAAGCAAAATAAGGACCAACTCTGACACTGTGGAGCCCCTGACCAATCGTATTTGCCATAAGTCTCCCTCCATCCAGAGCTCGCTGGCTCTAAGCCATGTGAGGGGGAGCTTTAAAACCTTTAGCGGTCACAGAATAGGTATTCAAACCCTTTGGGTGGTTTGTGCGTGCACTTAGTAAGAGACAGAAATTTAGCGTGCTCCTGATTTATAGTCACAGACCTTTAGACTTACTCGGCATGGACTGCCTAGAGCTCTCCCAAAAGCAGTTATTACCTGGGCTCTCCTTCTTGTTCAGGCACTTCCTCCTCTTCTTCCTCACTTCCACTATATTCATACTCCGTCTCATCTAATGGGAAAGAAACAAAGGCCTAGATAGTGCTTATCTTTAATTTTAGGACAGTGGGGAGTTGCAGTAGCACCTTAGTGAACCGGTTCCTATTTCCCTTCAGTGAGAAGATCTATCGCAGACCCTAGAACTCATTCTACATATACAAGCCCATCTTCCCACACTTGTAAAGCAGCACAGTGCTTTGCAGCAGACTTTCAGCAAATTCCCTGAATGACACCAGGTTTTATATGCAAGACAAGACACCTGGAGAACCTTGGCACCACCTGAATAAAGAGAACAGACTGCCCAAGACATTTGCTCCATAGCTCTTGTGATGGGTTATTTCCTGCAAGTCTGATTTATGGCACCATTCCAGGAATGAACCTACCACAGACCAAAAAAGGGAGAGGCATATATGCCAATATCCTGCTAAACTGTTTAATGCTTTTATGGAAGAGACACTGGCCCAGAAGCGAGTAATTTTATCTGAAAATAAGACACCTGAAACTGATATTCTCTCTGTAGAGGACAGAACAAAACCTAAAAGCCTGCTGATAGTCAAAATATGAATTAAAAAAGAACCTTCCAAGGGTTTTGGTTGTTTGGAGCTTTTCTAGGGGTGGGGATTTAGAATGGAAAGCAGGACAAAAATATGTATTTTTAACAAGCTGCAATACTTGATTTTTAGAAGCTGCATACCTTTCTCTCCTCTCTTCTTCCTGGTCCTGTCTATATGGTCCTTAAGCTGGATTCGGACTTGCCTTTCGTTTGGTTGGTCACGTATAAAGGGATGTTTCAAGAGTTGTTCTGTAGAAGGTCGCTGCATGTAATTCTTCACTAGACAACCTTCTATAAAGCTGAAAAACTTTTTTGACCTGAGAAAGCAGGGAGGGGGGGAAAAAAACCAAAACAAAACAAGATCACAGGTAAAACTCAGCTCAAACATTTTTTCTGTTCTGCCTCAAAGTCCAATTCCTTTCCTCAAAATGCATCATGTCCCAGAAGATGGTACAAGTGCTGTCTGCAAGTGTGCCTCCTAAACAGAGCTGAGTGTGCTCCAGCTGAGCACTGGGCTAGACGGACACAGGGCTGGATGGACACAGGGCAACACCAACATACCTGCAGTGCTTAGGCACAGCCTCACAGTAATGTGCCCTCTTTCACAGGCATAACTGCCCCGAAAGGCAGGATCTATTAGTGAAGGCAAATCATGCAAACCCAGCTCTGCTACTTCTGGACCAGAGCTGGGTAGCATCCAGCTTGCTTGGAGCACAGGCAGGGCAGCTCTGGTGTGTCTCCACCTGCCCATGCTATCTAAGGGCACATCTGCTTCAGAACAGCCGTACCGAAAGCCGCAAGAACTGCGGCCAACATTCCCCTGACACAAGCAGCGCTGCGCTGCTTTTGTAGGCACCTGGGCTCACTGAGATAGGTCTGCCAGAATTCAAGATTATTTTATTTTTTACCTGAAGAGCCACACACAAAAATATCCTCGTAGAACAACAGGCAGGTGTCAAGCAGTGTTGTCTGTTCAACACAGGCACTTGGGGTCAAATTCTCACTGACACAATTTAAGGGCATGAACTGAACTGAGCTCCTCCTGCACACCACATAAAGTGACAGGGTATGGGAGTTAGCTAAGATCGAGCACCACCTTTCTAAATTTGTACTTCATTTGAACTCTTGAAAGAGGACCCCTCCAGATAGAAGTCACCAAACAAGCCGCCTTGCAAAACACCAATAATGGAAATAATCAAAACTGCATATTTTCTCATAATCTGCCACCAAGCACACTATCAAAACAGTTGAGTCACAGCAGCAGTGGCTTTGGCCAGAGTCACTTTTTGATTGCCAGGTGCTCTCAACCTGCTCCCGTGCTTGGGCAGCAAACACCTCCACTACATGGTTAAGTGTAAAAACAACAACGGTTTCTATCCATCGCTTCACTTTCCTACTGCAATCTGAGAGGCTGAATTCAAGGTAACTTTGCTGGGTTTTTTTATTCCTCAAGCCTTAAATGTTGTTATTATTCTAAGTAAAAAGGTTATTGAAAGGCCTATGCAAATACTGTATATGCATCTCTTTTCCTTTAACATGCAGAAAGCATGAATGAGAGAGGGAGAGGGATGCCTTGACAGTACAAGTGCATAAAAAAGTCAATGTAGGCAAAGACCAAGCCCAGCAAGCAAGCCAAGTTTATATTATATTGATATTGAATAGGCAGTCAAATCACTTCATTATTTTGACAGGATCACAGCATCCTTTGATCACATTCAATCTATACAAAACCTGTTTCTAGGGAGGTTTTTTGTTTCATACGCGCCAGTTGTAACCAGTAACCGCGAGGAAATCCTCCGATACTAATGGATTCTTCCAGGCTGGCAAGAAGTGCACACTCAGTTCCAATCGTTTACAATAATTATAGTAAAAGCCTTCATTAGTTTTAATAGCTCCTTTCAACTTAGCAACTAGAACACTATAGTACTGTTCTGTTTCTGTGTTACGATACATCTGAGAAAACATACTGCATATTAAGAGTGCTGTGGGAGTTTATTTTTTAAAATATGGATCCATTTGTCACCTTAATGCAGACGCCGCTTTGTCAAGAAAAAAACCTTGGTTTTTATTTTCACACAATTCGAGATAAAATTTCCCTAGGACAAACAGAACTAAATAAACAACGGACGCTTTTTATTTTGTGCTTTGATTCAGTGGCACAGAAGATAACAACAGGGTGATTTTTCCTAACTTAAATTGCTTTACAGTTCTGTGGAAGCAGTAACAAAACAGCATGTGATGAGACACAAGAAAACATCATGCTACAGAAAGGGCTACAAACAAGATAAAACTAATACATACCATTTCTTGGATTTTAACCGTGGGGGAGGGTTCCTGGGTATCAGAAAGAGTGCCCTCATGGGATGCATGTCACAAAGCGCTGAAGGAAAGAAAACAAAACCAAACAGGAACGTAGAAATGTTGGTTTAGTTGCTCTCTGTCAATACCACAGCTTCAGCTTCCCCAACCAATCCCACTGTCCTGACTGCCCATGCAGCAGATGCGGACAGCAACACAACTAAATGGAATTAGCCTGAAATGACAATTCCACAGCTCAATGTGCCAAGGGTGGCCCCAAAAAGAGAAGGAGATCGAGGCATTTATTAACCTTCAGACTCAACCATGATGGGAACTTCTATGTGCAGCCCTCCTCCAGCCCCAAGTCATATAACTTATGTTCCGGTCAATAAAATACAGGGAGAAGATGATGGTGAAGGGAAGAATGACACAGTTACTGTCTCAAACAAACTTCACTCCACCTGCCCTCCTCTCCCACTATGCAGGCAATTAAAGCAGGATGCCTCCTCCTTCTCTCCAGACTTGGAGCTTTTCTCTATTCCAAGCCCTGATGGCTTTGAAGCATGGAGGGTCTGTATCAAAAAAAGGATTCCCTGCAGAACCAAAATGCAAGCCTACGACTTCTGTCAAAAGAAGTACCCTTGGTTTCAGCAGACACTTAGTGGGAGTCCATTAAGGACAGCCTTTCCTCCTCCTCCAGAGCAAAAGGACCACAGCAGAGCCAATGCAGGGAAACAAAGGAGCAGGGAGGGAGGCTGCCCAAGAAAGGATGCTAGAAGCAAATACTCTGTTTTTACCATATTCCTATGCTTGACCTCTTGCACCATCAGTCTCAGCCTGAACGATCACCGCAGGAAGAGGTAACATTTTCCACACAGCAGAAATTCAGGAGAAACAGACTGATGTGAAGAGGATTCTGGATGCAGAAATAAGGGGCCACAATCTTGGCAGAGAAGCCCCTTGGATGCCCTTGGATGCCTGTGGACCCCACCAGACCACCAAGCTTAGAGATGGGCCCTTCAGCCGCAGCTGAAAGAGGAGGCAGAGCCCACATGCCAGAGGACAGACCAAGGCAAGAGCTGTTCAGCATTTACGTTGGATCTTTGCTAACCACTCAAATGCCTCTCTTCTGCTTTTACAAAAAGGGACTAAGCTCTGCTTCGGTTTGGAAATGAAAAAAATATTATTGTCCAATTCCAGGCTTACAAAACCCACACACACAGCTTTTAATTGAAAGCCACCCGGGCAACCCAATGCACTGAACAAAAAGGTACAGCAAAAAGGAGGTCAAGTGGTAGCTCAAATGCTGTTAATACAGTGCTGTCTGAGGTGTCCTGGGAGCAGCTCTCACATGGGCATTCATGCAAACGTGCAGTTAGGAGGGGAAAAAAAAACCCCAAACCATCAGACCTCCTAAAACATGAATCAAAACAAGAGCATTGTTCTTCGATTTATAAATTTTACATTAACAACAACAAAAATCAGACAGCAGCTATAATGAAATGACCATTTTTTAGCTAGGAAAATATCAATACTTAATTTCAACATGATTATTTCAAAGACAGAGGTTTCAAGCTGGGCTGTGGTGTGGTGGTTGTTTATGTGTAAAAAAACGTAATTAACTCACTTTTAGGTACCTTAGGCTGTTATTTTTTAAAAACAGAGCTCCAGGTGGGGTTGAGGGTAAGCGTATTTGCTAGTTCAATACGGATTTTCATAAAAATTACCACTGAAAGCCAAAACATCATGCCTAATTTCTTTTATTTTTAAATCCTGTCTTCCTTGCACCTATCTGCTGTTTGCCTTGATATTTAGAAAGAGTAAGTATGTGAGGGGGAAAATAAGCTATAAAAAGTTCTGCATTTTTGGTTTCCAGGTTTCTGTCTCAAAACTACCCATATCAGCTGATGAGTATTCTCAAGCAGGGAGCATTAAGTTCAATATTCTGTGCTGAAAATGGATTTACAGTTTAAATCATGCCACTGCTAAGGAAGATCAACACCACCCACGAACGAGTGGAAACAAAAGGAGAAGCAATGTTAGCATTACCTAGACCGACAGAAAGCCGACACAGAAACAATTGCTACAGATGCTTTTTTCATTAAGGTCGGATTTCTTGAGGCCCCACTGCACCTCTCCCCGGCTGAGGTTTCAGCATCCCAGGCCAGGCCATACACAAACTGGGACACAACTCCAAAACACAATATACTACCCATAGGAAGGAAGTCTGCAGCTCAATTAGCTTCCAAATATTCCTGCTATAGAAATTAAATTACTGCAGTCTGCACTGTATTGCTTAAACACAATCCTATCTTTATCAAAAGCATTGCTATTTATGGGATTTTATATTTATAGGGCAGGCAAAACCAAAGAGAACAGAAATAACATGAGGATACTTTCAGAAACCTCAAAACTAGGCTTAGATTACAACCAGCATCTCCCAAGTATACATTTCAGTCTTAATCAGCCCACTGGAGAAGCACACGTATCACTTACGGGGAGCTCCTTCTGCCATCTCTATGGCTGTAATGCCGCATGACCAAAGGTCACTCTGCATAAAAAGAGAGAGACCATATGTTAGTAGGTGGATCTACCCATTCAGACAGTAAGACAGTACTATTTACAGAGGCCCTGTAGGTGAGACTGAAACCAAATACCAAGGCTATTTAAGTAATATAAGCTACGGTTTTTTGGTAACATTATCATAAAATCCTACTTCTATAACAGAGACATATATATACACAAATGCACGCATGTATTCATACAGAGTACGCAAACAACCTTTTCTAATAATACATAAAAATATATATTCACATTAGGACAATGAAAAATACACTGGCCCCAAAGCTAAGTCTATGAAATTTTCAATCCTTGTTTACAAAGGACTGAACATTTCCCTGTGGTAGATTCACAGAAAACACTGTACCCGTTCCCCCAAAACAAGAGATGGAGATATGAAGACTGCGGGGTAAAAGAAACCAAACCTGGCAGGTGTTTTTCAGTGTCTAAACCAGAAAATAAACAAACAAATACAGATTAGTGGAATACATCCAGACCTGAACTTTCTTCTAGTCCCAATAATCAAATAATAGTTTTATCTAGGGGAATTGCCATCACTGCTAAACTTGCAAGAAGCCTCTGTTGGACACATTGCTTGGAGCCAAAGCAAACGTTCCTCCCCTACCATCTCAGCTTTGCTTGAAATGTTAGGGAACAAGAGTCCTTCAGTGGGAGCCTCTCAAGATCCCACCTCTGGCCAGCGCCCCTGACTAGGGAGAGCGTGGGCAAGCGCCAGGAGGGTCCCACACAGGCAAGAGCTGGAAGAGTCTTGGCGAGGAACCAACTCCAGAGACTGCCGCAGCTTAAGGGGCAAAAGACTGGAGGAGGCTGCTGAAAGAGAGCTGTTCTTCAGCAAAGCAGTCCTCATTTCTGGTCACAATAACGACTTTTTAAAAAATTAGTAAAAACTAACGAGCAAATAAGCTCTTCTTGTACTACAAGCAGAGAAGCATTTCTAATGATTGCATTTTCAGACCTAGCAAGGCAATCTTTTCTCTTGATCCAGTCCAGCCATTTAAGCTAAACTGCACAGCCTCATGATCTCACAAAATCTTTCAACCATGAATTTTTTGGGGGTGAGAGCCCTACAGGCTCCACCAGGAACAATAAACAGGTGTTTTCAGAGGCAAGAAGAGTTATTTTTTACATCAGTACTGCATTAATAAATATTGCAGAGAGTTTTTCTCCTTTATTACATCATTTAATAGCCACCCTTCCTTCCTAATAACTCCATTTGCAAAGATATAAAGCATTACCTTTAGTACAACAAGCTGATGGATGTAAAAAACGATTAAATCAAGAGAAATAGGATCAATCTGATCAACCTTAGTCAAAAGGTACAAAAACACCAATTCAAATAATCTGTTTTTTTTAAATAGATTTAGACATATACAAACACACTGATAGCTAACACCACTATCAATCTCAGCAAATTGATATAATGGATATTCAGCTCTAAAATGCATTGTAAGGCCTTAATCACAGGCTTTCTGGTATCTTTGTTGCCCTTCTTGGTTAAAAGTTGGAACAACTGCATTAGTCTAAGTGAAGATTTTTTAAAAAGCGTATTTTCACATTTTTGCTTTCCTTGTGCTTTCATGAAAGCAAGCTGAGAAGAACTTCTAAGATTACAGGATGCTTTCCCTAGAGAAATTTAACTTTAAATACACATACATAATATTCTTAAGGGCAGTGCAAATACCATCAAGCCAGTTATGGTTTTTCAGTAATTAACTATTTGGTTTGCAGCAAACTAGGTAAAACATTATCTTTGTTGAGAAATGTTGTGATGGATAAATTTTTATCAACATGTACATGTATCTTGAAATCAGGAATAGACATGGTTTAAAGAGCTCCTTCTGTACTTCACTGGCTCTCCAGACGGTGGTTCTATTTAAGGCAACACCTAAAATGCATTGTTCTGGGTTACTACAATAACTGGGACATAGTCTAACACAATTTAAAGTACAATCATTATACAAATTGAGAACACGAGCGTTTCCAGTCAAACTCTTTTTTGCCTTGTCTGAGCACCTACATCACACTGAAGTCCTTCTCCTTATGTCTCAAAGCGATGATGATACAAGTAATGGCAGCTGTTGAAGGTCACAATTTGGCAGTGAGCCATACCTTGTACTCCTGTAATAAGAATATACCTAACAAAATACTATTACTCCTACAAAGCATAACAAGTCTCAAAACCTGCCATTGTTCATGGGTGTTCATAGTGCAAGTGTAGGGGTTTTGTATGTTGGGGTGCATTTTTTCTGTGAACAGAACTCTCTTACTCTGTAATCATACGTAGCATCTGGATTTTCATCACAGGCAATAACTTCTGGAGCCATCCAGTACGGAGTTCCAATAAAAGTGTTTCTTCTGCCAACTGTCCTGTCCAGCTGAGCGCTCACACCGAAATCCACTGTGGGTGGGAAAAGAGTAAAATAAAATAAGAGGGGAAAAATAATGCAGTGATTACTTCTGTAAGGTGATTTGGAAATAAAATCCTGTGGATGTTCCACGTGGGAAGACCATGCTGAGGAGAAATATGATGATTAATACTGAGGCAGCTGGGCCCTTGTGGTTCACATGCAATGTGCTTGGGCCACAAGCATCAAGAGACACGGCAGCATACGACCACCTCCCCTGCACCTCTCACTGGCCTGCCTGTATAGAAAGGAGCGTACAGCTGCAAAAATATGGCCTGGGAGGCTGAGGAAGGGCTATCCCCTTCCCAAATGGTGAAGCCAAGCCACCTTTGCCTATAGAGAGGGAGCTGCTTCCCAAAGGTACCTCTCATGCTATGGGAAAACCACACGCATGAACCCATCTCCTTTTCAGCTGTCCACCTTTTCTGCTCTAAAATTGGACAGCAGAAATAATCTGTTGCTCAGCGAATTGCTCTCTGCTCTAATGCACTGAGCAGATGTGTCGATAGGAGCAAAAGATGAGGATTATTCAAGAGGTGCCAACTTTGAGCACAAATGCACACACGCTGCAAAAGAGATGCCCATTTCATTACAGGGCAATTACATTACAAGGGTGTTGTCCTCCCTTCAGTTCTCCCGCTCACGACAACAGCGATATATGCCTTTCTATACCAGTAACTGCATCTGCTCTAGGAGGGCTGTGTCAGCTTCACTGCATCCACCCTCTGAGCGACACAGACGAACCGGTGTAGACGAGCTTGGTGTGAGCAACGGTTTGGGAGCTACCGTGCTCCACTTCGGACCAAAAGGAGGAAAGCTCTCCCGAGAGCTTCCTCCTCCAGCAGCCGGGACATCTTCCCATGCCTCGTGCAGCAGGAAGGTGTAATGCAAAACAGAAGGGATGTGGGCTGGGTGGGAGGGCTTTGGTATGGCTCTATATTTAACTAAAAAAAGGTGACGAATGTAGCGTGATACAAATACAGAAGGTTAAAGTGTGCAGTAACTGGAAGAGACGCATTCAAGAGAAAGAAAAAAAGAGTTTGTCCACTTGGAAGGGAGAGAAGAGGCCAGGGATGAGCACAGTTTTCGGCAGGCATGCCAGAGCTGGAACTGTGTTTTGAACTTGATGCCACAGCTCCCTCGAGTGTGCCATCCAGATCATATTTTTGTGTCCAGAATCTGCACAGCAGGTGTTATTTTAATTAAAGCCAAATAAAAGAGTGACTCCCGTCACTTCCCAACTCCAGAATAAAGGGAATCAGAACCAACTCAAGTCATGCACTGCTCGGTGGGGGGCACAAAACAGTCCCCTCACCGATTCCAGCATGAAAGCCAACATCTTCTAACAAAATGCATGCCATCCCCCCCAAAGCAAGAGGAAATACGCACAGGGCCTCGATTCACATGGGAGCAGTGACAGAGCGCACATGCTACAGAACATGTCACAGGGCTCTTAGAGGATAAAGTCAGTTTGGGAACATCAGAAAACAAAGGTTGAATGAATGAGGAAGTGGACATGCATGCCTACTTACCAAGTTTCACTTCTGCGTTCTCTGTTAACAACACATTTTGCCCTTTGATATCCCTGTGAATCACATGATGGGCATGAAGATGTGCCAACCCCTGCATTAAGAAGAGGAGAGGAAGGAGAGGACATTGAGAGTTAGGTTCTTGGCTTAGCAACAGACTACCCGTACCCAGCATCCCCAAAGCCCGTAACACTGGGTCTCCGGCTCTTAGAATCATAGAATCATAGAATCGTTTAGGTTGGAAAAGACCTTTAAGATCATCCAGTCCAACCATTAACCTACACTACCAAGTCTACTCTAAACCAATCAAGCCTAGACTAGACTAAACCACGTCCTGAAGTGCCACATCTACCCGTTTTTTGAACACGTTTTTGAACACTTGAACTCTTGCTCAGTGGCTGGGTGCAATGGGACCCACAGGAGCCTTGTAGCAGCACGCCGCCCACACAGCTTTTGGTAACGGAGCAGAGACACAGGCCCCAGGTTAGGCACATGCGGTACCTAAATACAGCCAAACATCTGCACTGTGCAAACACCTCTCAGCTATCGCGTGAAGAAAGTTCAGCTCCCAGAAACTCTCCGTGCATTGATGCTGTAAATTACATCAGTGTCAGGTACGTCACTGACATCTGAAACACACAGGGTCACCCAGAATTCAGTCTGGGGGAGGGGGGTGGAGGGAAAAAGGAGGCAGCATCAGCATGCATATATGCATCCCCGGGAAGGGGGTGGGAGGGTGATGGACTGGCAGTTATGTTTGAGGGCGAGGGACAACTGATGACAAACAAAAGCTCTGCTGCAAAGTTGCAGTTCTCTTCTCCAGCCTCCATAAATATGGAGCCAGATAATTGTTCCTCAGGAAAAAAAACCCATGCAAATAAAAAAAAAAAGCAAAAAAAAAAAAAAAAAAAAAAGGCAGGAGCATTATACTTTCCAAAGGAAACAAAACCTCCTGGCATACGGTGCTTTTTGTTGAGACAGCACCTGGATGCATGCCCCAAAGCGTTAGCCATGTGGAGGGAGGGCTGAGGAAGACATATGTTGCATTTTACTCTCTAATGTAATTGGGAGAACAACAGGCAACCCTCTTAGCAACTGCCTGTATTTTGGTTTCTCCTCAGCTCTGTGCTCGGAAAATTGTAGTCTCCGTTGGGATCGTCTTGCCTGTTCGTGTTGCCCTCATAGGCTTTTAATGTTTTATGAAAAATAAAGAAATAGAACCTTTACAGCTGCAAGAGGTTAAGAGAGTAGTGGTTGCTGTAGAGAAATATTTCCTAACACATGTTTTTCATTAAATGATCATTTACCAGTTTGCCTACATAACCACTGGGCTATTTTCTTTTTTTAAAACAGTTAATGAGCGTGACAAAAAAAACACCATCCACAGCTCTTCCCCACACAGGTCACAAGCAAATCAAGTGAACGGCTGATGTCCCCAAGACCCTTCGCTGGCTGCTATGCTAAGTGTGGTCTCATTTTTCACAGGAATGAAGGCTTTTCCACAGCTTCACACAGGATACTTTTTAAAGCCTTCTGCTAAGCCGACCCAGCCAGAGAGATAATTGTCTGTTCTCTCCAGAGTACCATCTAACCTTACTGAAAAAACACATTTGGGTTTGCGAAAGGCTGGGAGGAGACAGAAGGGCACATCTCCATTCTCCTGCAGTCCCCAGGCCCCTCCAATCACACAGAGATCCACTGGGTCGACCCTCACCTGTGTCTCCACCTGCACCAATCTTTGGCACTTAGCTCATTTTAACTTTCTGTTACACAACCTCTGTCCTCCATCTCTGACAAACTCAGTGTCGAATCAGGTTTCGCAATGTGAGTTTAGCATTCCTTTTTTCCAGATATTCCAGTTCCTGCTAGCAAGCAATTAAGGCTCCTTTTGCAAATCTCTCACAGGAATGAGAAAATAGCTTTCACCTAACTGTTTTCTGAGGTAAATCATTTTTTCCTCTTCTCAGTGAGCGTGACTACTTTACCTAAGGAGAACCTAGGATGAATGCAACATGGCATGCAATACCTCCAAGGTCACACAGTTCTCAAATCAAGCATAAAGATCAGTCCTGCAGAAGTTAGCTTTCCTCATATTAAAGCATCCTATCCATCTGATTTGAAATACAACCATCAGTAGGTATTCAACTTTTCTTCTCCCTCTTAAACAACTTAAAATGTGCCAGCCCAAACACCAGCAGCCAGACTCTCTCCTATCATTTGGAAATACAGCAAAAGACCAGAATCGTACGTTTCCCTCCCTCCCCATCTTAAAAATCACCAAGAAAGAGCAAATGTGTAACACAGACAACAGCAGCATTGATTTATGCAAGAGCCAGTGGTGGTTTCCTTTAACACAAAGCCCTTCAGAACTTCATTTATGATGAGGCAATTGAACAAACATACTGTGTAGTGGTATGGGTAGGAGGCAATTTGTTTTATAAAGAAGCACGAGGAAAACCATACCAGATTTACTTAGCACAGCAAACAAATGCCAATTCAAAAAGCACTTAAACTGTACCAACTGGAAATTAAATATGAAGAGTAATTAGTTAAAGCTTCAGTTTTAGAAAAACTGGTAAGTGGCATCCCTCTTCCTGAGAAACTTTTGCAGCACCATCTGCCAGCACTCTACAGCGCACAGCCACATACGACGTAGCTGCTTGCTCTAGATAAGACTGCAGGAATATACAATATGCGAGCACATCGCAGCACAGAAGTCCTGACTGCTGGCCTGAGCCAACAACTCCCTTCCTCCACAGCCTTGATTAGGAGCAGAGAAAAGACGGCTGCAAGCACATTTGGAAAAGCCCATTCCACACCCTATTGTGTTGTGACACTGTTACAACCTCAGGCTTCTCAAAAACAGTGTCTTATGGACACTGCTTCACAGCTTCTACAATATGTAAGGTCACTGGTTCTCCCGCTGGCTTCTCATGACTAAAAATTGCTATTTTCTGCAAAGCTGCTGTTACAGTACAGTACAGCTCACACCGAGTTAAATGACGTGGAGGAGACATCTATCTGCTCCTACGCACTCTCCAAGTGATGACATGGCTAACGGGATTGATCAGAAACAGCTTCTTGCAGACCCTCAAGCTAGGCTACATCTCTGTAAGACTGTTTCTGTGTTTTCAAGTGGAACAGACTATTTTCCTTACCCGAAGAATCTCTCTGGAGATATATGCTATCCAGTCTTCTTTCAGAGTATTCCCTTTCGTGTTCTTCACAAGGTCTGTGATAGAGCCTGCTCCACAAAACTCCATAACAAGCTGCAAAACAAACAGCAGCATACAACCAACATTAAACACAGTTCCCAGCTGTCTAGCAAAGCAAAATAACCAGGTTGCAGCACTGATTTGGGAAACCCTTGTGAAGCAGAGAATATAATTTATTTTACATCTCTGCCTGGAAAATGGATTCAAACCAAATGTCTCCAATGTGTGTCAGACATATACGGAATATGTCTCACATTAGTTACCACATTTTCAAGGACTGATTTAATCACGGTAATTTAATGCTGGGAATCTGGATTTGCTCAACTATGCAAAATGCATTAGCAGCAACAGGAGTAAGAGCACACCCAGTGCTGAAGGAATCAAATTGATCACACCATTGCAACACATCTTATTCTTTAACTCACATTTATTTATGGAAGAACATGCACTCGTGTGTGTACCCTGCCATTCAAACCCAAACTTCAATCCTCTAGAGGGTGTAGATGAGGTGTGATGAGAAATGTAATGGGTACAATTCTCAAGTGCAGCTTTCTTTTTACAGCCACACATTCTTACTGCTCAGCTCATCTGCCTTGTTCCCATGAAACATGTTACTATCCATCTGGGAAACGAGGGAAAAAAAGTTACTTAAAGAGCAAATCCATTGCTAATAGCAAATCTTGGTTCAGCCATCCTCTTAAGGATGCACGATGAGCCTACGTGATTCACTTATCTATCTGTTCAGGCAAGCACCAAATTCTATTAGTGTGTCTTTCCATAATGTGGTATTTCTGTCATCCTCAAACTACATCCAAAAGGGAAAGGCTTACGAACATGCTTGAGACATATCTGCTTACCCACAGTTGGTCATCATGTCCTGGAGGACTTTTCTTAATGAAAGCACCATAATAAGTTGCAATATTTCTATGATGAGAATATTTCTTTAGCATATTAATCTCCAGTTTGATTTCTTCTTCTTCATCCTTTGGAAAAAAAAACCAAAAAAACATATGTCTAATACACCACGTGCATTATTTATTTCCTCTTCTCTTTCACACAAGTAGATTTTTAAAAAGTTCAATTTATAGCAGCATCCTGCTCAGTAAACACATCCTATATTCATGCCATCAAAATCCCGTCTATTGAGATGGTCTAAAACAGACCTTTACTTCCCCAAGTTTCCAGTAGTGCAAAAAATCAAATGAAGGATGCACTGGACTTCATCCAATGATGGAGCAGGACACGATCTGTTTAAAAACCCTGTGTTTGTAATACCTTAAGCAAATACATAGCTAGCAGGCTTTGATTCTAGGTAACCCAGAGAACAAGAAAACTGGAAAAGTCTGTGGATTTACAATAGAGGAGAATTATTTCCATCTTCCTCATTTTTTTTTTTCCCTTTAATTTTGAAAACTGCAACCAGTTCTATTTAAATGCCAGACAGCGGCTCAGCACAGCCGGCTGCCAAAGCGGGCCCTCCGAGATGGGTCCCTCCACGGTGGGGACCGCAGGGTCCCAACCTCGGTGCCAGCACGGAGCTGGCGCAGGAAAGCAGAGGTGGAGGTCAGGAATTCCCCTCACTGCATGGACAAGGCGTTCGCCTTGAGCACAAGTTTCCTCCTCCTCCATCTGCCTCCGTGCAGGAAGAGCAAGTGCATCAGGAAGAGAGGGCCGGGAGCCCGGGCGGTAAACAGGATGCTGGGACACAAAGGCAGAGGAAGGATTTCCCCCGGCTCCCCCCACCTCAGCGAGGTGCCAAGCAGAGAGCAGCTCAGGTGAAGGGAGGTCACCCCTTTAAAGAGCTGGAACGGGTAACACTGTGCAACCACTCCTTAAAAACACCCACAACCCGCTTCTGAAGCGACAGCAGGACGTGTTGCATGGAAGGATCCACGCACGCTTTGAGGTGATGTCTGAGCAGGCAGCCAGCAGATCCCGGAGGAGAAGGAGCAGACACCATCCCACCCCCAGCTCTCCCCTACCACACCTAGACAGCGGGAGCCTTCATCTAGCACCTCTCAAGGCAACAAATGAAAAGGCAGCTAGTTTACCCCTTTAGGCACAATCTTTATTCGCTCCACAGTTTTCTAGCCTGAGATATCCAGGGGGAAAATGTCTACCTTAAATTGATTCCAGGAAGAAACCGAAACCTCTGTTCCCTAGGGTGGCTGGCTGATGGAAACGGTAGCACATATTTTGATTATCCTGTAATGTCAAAGCTGATTACATGAGAAAATTTTAAGCCTTAAACTTCCTTGCAATTTGTACCACGCTAGCAATCAAATATTCTATTCATGACATATGCAGATGTTAATACTAAGTACATGTTAACTATTTATACGCACTGGTACGCATGGCTTTAGCAAAAGAAACCACCCTATGCTACGAAGCAAACAATTATTTCAATTACACTAATAGTGGGATGCAGTGCTTACTTGTAATTTATTATGAGAGAATTCCCAAAATGCACCAGGGATAAACTATTCTTAAATCTTCTCATGACGCATCTTTAAAGTAAAATACTGTGTATTTCTGGAACACTGAACAAAATAGTAAAATAATCTTGCAAATCAAAGTTCCCAGGGAACAGCAGCCCTGGGAGAAAGCATTATCAGGACACCTTTTTGAGCCAAAAGCTAACTTGATGCTTCCTCAGCTGCTTCAGTTGCCCTTGCTGTTGTGTGATTTTTTTTATTTATTTAGACCATATGCCAAAAAAAAAAAAGAAAAAAGAGTACAGGCTTATACCAGAAACTACCACACTGAACTTTGAATTTAGGCAAAAAAAAAAAAGTAATAGGAGATTTGTTAAACTTAATGCTTTGGGACTTAATCGCTGATAGGTTAATATGTATAATTGGAATAATCTGCTGTTTTGTGCTGACTTTTTATATAAAAATTATTTCCTACCCTCAGCACAATAGCTTTTACAATACAATGGGCAGGATGTCCTAAGTGTTGTTCATGTTTTTGTATTGTAACAGCCAAAATGACAATGCTTAGATAGGATCTATTTCTGAAAAATAAAATAATTGGCCCCCGCAAAAAAACCCCAAAGAATAAACAACAACAAAAAAGGCGCACACAGACCCAGCAGACTGCAGGCAGTTACTGCTCTTTCAGTTTTTCCTTGCAGCTGTGTCAAAGCACCTGCTCAATGGCCTGCAGCAACTCCAAGCATCTCCCTTAACTAAGGCTAATGATGGTCCTACACTCCCATTTCAGCTGTCATTGAGCATTTGTCCACAAGACAAATAGCATCTCACCTACAGTTCAATCCAGTCCAAATTCCAGCCTACAAAAATAAATGGATTCAGTAATTCTTGCAAGGCTTTGGAGGACTCCACTTACTTAGTGTGGATCAATAACTTCCTGGCACCGAGTCCCGAAGACTTTGTGGCGACAGGAACTATCATGAGGATTAATCAGCACAGAGAAGGCTGCAGTACCACTGTGGTACAGCAATTGGTGTAAGATTTAAAAAAAAAGAAATTAAAAAAAAACGAAAGAAGGTGGCCAGACCAAAATTGTTCTGTTCCAGATTCAGGAACATTTATTTCCAGGGTACAACTGATCTCATCCCAATGTGGACGTCTGAAAGAGGCCAAACAATGTGCGCCCTACCGGTGTTTACTTCTCCCCACCAACTACAAAAGGAGGATGAGGTCATTAGCCAAGATCCAGACACCACTCTTGCAGATGTCTCACATCAGGGCGAGATGAATCCCACCCAAAAATCTCACCGGATAAGACCATTTCCGCACAGGTCTCCTTATGGACAGATGCGCTGCCGGGAGGGCAGGCTGCAGCCTGCAGCCGGGATCCTCCTGTGCAGAGGGAGGTGTTTCGGCAGCCGCCTGGGAATTTGGATGTGCGAGCTGGCCTCAGGGACAGAAGGTCCCTCATCTCCTCCCGACAACACACGCGCTGCACCACCACCACTAACAGTCCCTCCGTTTGCAGAGGCGCCAGGATCACAAAAGGGGAAAATTAAAACCGACTGAGGCGAGAGACTGTCATTCTCATGAAGGAATACAAAAGTACATCCTTTTTTCTTGGAGGAGAGAGGCAGCTGGTGAGCCCTTCCTAGTGATTTTATGCAGCTGGCATCAATTACCACTTTAAGCCATTATCTGTGGATACAAACTCCCATTGAAACCTTCTTTGTCTGGCCTGTGATGGGGCTGGTGCAAGTGTTTTATACTTACACATTCGCTGTCTGTCTGTGACAGCATGTCTGATTACTGGTAATTTTTGCAGTAAGCTATACTTTTGCAAGACTCACGTGGTTAAATCAAGCTTGGAGCGGCTTTCCTCTCCCTTCCCATGTGTTTCCCTTCAGAGATTAAGTGGACGTGTCAGCATCTCTAAGGATTTCTAACTGCAAGGCTGTTTTATCAAAACGACTTTGCCTGCAAGATTAAAAACTGCATACGAGGCCCACACAGAAATCCACCTATATATACACAAAGGTCATTTCTAACCATTTGAATTAGCACATTAAAAATAAAACCAGGCGTGTTACCTCTCAGCATGCCACCTAGCGGCGCCTGATCAGCTTGCTTATGGCTGTAGCAGAAAATCTCCACACCGCTCACTCTTCCATTCATCACTGCACGCTAAATATCAGAATTTTTTTTTTTTTTTACACACAGGCAGCAAATCAATGACTTGTTTTCATTACATCACCATTTACAAAACTGTGATGATTTAAGTATCTGAATGATTTAAGTATCTGACTACAGTTGCCACTGGAGTAACTCCCAGTCAAATAAAAGCTACTAGAGCAGATCCATGTCAGGAATATTAATCTGGACAGCTCAATTATGCAATCTCAGCACATTTTCCAAAGGTAACCTGCATTATTATTGCAAGAAAATCCTGCTTATTTATACAAATTCTTAGAAGATGAAGAATTCAGAACTCCTCTCTGACATCATGGTAGGGAGGGAGAAAAAGGGAACTACAGCTTAGACATGCCAGAAACAAGGAGGATATAACCAAAGGAAAAGAACAATCACTCCACGCCTGCCCTGTTTTTATGTACTTCCCTAAACATTGTTGTGTAGGTGCCTCAGGAGCCCCAGCAAAACAGTCCCAACCTGCCCCAGCACTGCAACTGGTACAAGACCCCTACAAGAATCTGTCTCCGAGAAAGAGACCTGGGGGAGGAAGGGGGAATAACACTGTTTTCCAAGCTCTGTAGTACAAGGAAATTATTTCAGGAGCTGAATTTAAAAAAAAAAAAAACCAAAAAACCAACCCAAACCACACCTAAAGGTACAGCGAGGAAGTATCCCAGGGCATGTAAGCGGTGAGTTTCCATCCATACTCCTCTGGGTGGAAGAGCTGCCTGACCATTGCTCTTTGCCAGCTGTTGATTCTGTCCTCTCAAAGGATGGCACATGCTGGGGAGGAGAAACTCAGGACAATTGCAGAAGATTTTGTTTACCCTAGCAGTATGATGAAGGGCAAGGTGAATGATGAAACACAGCCAAGCAAGGATAAATCAAGACAATGTTCGGTGATGAAGGTAAGAGCAAGTTTACCTGCCCTGCCAGATGATTTATATGCTGCCCTAAATCAGTTTGCAGAGGAATACAAATTGGTCCCTTCAGTAACTTTCCTTTTGGATTTAAGAAATGAGACAGTGACAAATCTCAGCTCTCCCTGCACAAACGGCATCCAGTGATTTTAAGCTACAAACAAGTGTTTTAAGAATTAACACCACTTCCCAACACGAAAGCCAAAGGCTCAGGCAAAGGGGGATGGGAAAAGGGAAGCCTCCAAGCCTCCTTTCCTTTGCTTTCTCCCGCGCTGCGCCCGAAGCTCTGCCTGCCCATACCCAGGGAGCTGCAGTGCCTGGAGAACGGCGGCTGGCGACGCTCAGCCTGGGGTTTCAGAGTGAGCTGAGCTGCTGAGGATCACGAGCTCCAGCGGTGGCTTGTGGGATTTGGGAATCTTTAAATGACAGGAGAGCTGG